CGATCACCACCCCCTCCTCCACCACCACTACTTCACTCCCACTACCACCACCACCACCACCACCACTACCACCGCCTGCATCTCCCTCACCTGGCCTCTGACTTAGCCCACTGTTTTATTATTGATCCATCCGGGCATCACAGTTGCTGACCCTCTTTTCACCGCCATGTCGTCTCGCCGTGCTAACTTAATACGACCGCCCATATAGCCACTTGGCGAGAAGAACACCCCTCGAACATCTTACTTTACCGGTTTACCTTGCCGCCCTCTGGCCCGCCACGGGCATATTAGAGTCTTACACTACGACGAAAGTAATATGTGATTGATCTTCGCACACCCCGCCACAGCTCCGCACACCGTGCGCCTTTACGTCGTCCTCCACACGCTCTTTCATATCAGTATCCGCTGCGGGATGCAGCCTGGTCATGGAGCCGCTTGGCCTCGAACTCTGCATGTTGCAGGCTAGCGATGCGCCCGCCATGGTTCTCTTGATTTCGAACTGCTAACAGAGCCCTGGCCATGGTGAGCCATCCATCCTTCCCCAGAGGGAGCTTTGGCCCGGCGAATTCCCTACGAGGCCATCCTAGCTCCTCCGTTGGATCCATCATCAGCCGGATGGCACAGACAACACAGAGACTAGAGCGATGAAGTCTCTCGCAAGGTACTGACTGCCCATATTTGTCTTCCCGGTTGTCTAACCTTAACTTGGTAATCCTCCCTCCCTCTCCTTAGTGTTCCTCATGTCACATCTTCCATCCCGTAGACTATGAACTATCTCCTACAACCCAACCTCGACTTCCCTCTCCGTTCTTGCACTTCGACCGATATCCTCGTACCTTTCTCCACCCCTCGCCAACACAATGATGATGAATTCCGGGAACTGGGACAACAATGCAATGAGCTATGCCATGGTGGAAACGTTACCCGATGATGTATCGACTCAAATAGCCCATCCTTCACGCTACCCAAGGGGCCAGAAAACCGGCGGCTCGATGCGTGTCGTTAAACCGAATAGTGCCAACAACAGCCCACGAAGCTCAATGGGTAGACGCAGGACGGTGGTGGCTGATGGTCAATACCGGCGAAGGGTTGCCATAATCGACCAGAATATTTCATCAGCTTCTAATGGCTTCTTCTCAAACGATGGGCTGCAAGTTCCAACAAGATCAAATCGGCCGGCCAGCTGGCACCCATCCTCACAACAAACTCATCAGCCATTGTGCCAGCCATCGTACACCACCCCAATGTACGACTTCAATAATCAGTTTCAATTCATGGATGTACCACCAACTCCTATGGTATACTCTGGATATACCTCCCCGGCATCAACCTTCTCGCCGTTGTCGATGCCATATAACGGTTATTACCAACATCAATTTTCCTTCCAACACGTACCGGCCCCTTGCAATCAAACTCCGGTCTATGCTATAGATCAGATGCCCATGATGGAACAACAAACGGAAATCTATACTCAATTTCCCATGACAAATATTGACCCTACCATGTCCTCAAATACAGAATGGGGAAATTTCGCTACCAGTGGATTCGGGGGTTCCACTGCACCGCCTACTCCGGAGAATTTCCTTCCGATTCAGCACCCAGAGCCATTGTTTCCGTCAGAAGACTCGATACCATACCAATCTTTATCCGATACCGAGTCTGTAGGGGAGGATCTTATCGGAGTTGGACTATACGACAAGCCTGATGTCATGAAGTTTTCGGATCTTGATCCACAGCTAGATAACTATCGATCTTTAATGATGCCCCAACTTATTGGATCTGGATATCGACGAACAGAGTCCACTGGGAAGGGTCTAAAATTAGAGGAGACATGGAACCCTCCCGAAAGTGACGAAGATGACGATGACGACGACGACGAGCAAGACGCGGAGGCTGAAGATGAAGAAGAGCCAACGAAGACACTGGAGAGCAGCAACGTTCAGTGTGCTGACGACTCCAAACCCAAAAACGAAAGTCACCTCGCAGAGGCATCGCAAGGAGACACCCAGTACGGCGGTAGTGGTTGGTTATAGGCTGTTATATATACGGAGTTTGTGAGGTACGGTTTTTCCAGCATAGCATAGCATAGCATCGGACAGGATAGGCATAAGGAAGGACTGGGGCCAAGGACGGGGTTCCACGGTGTTACTCGACATCCTGGTTTTTATAAAAGCCGGTAGGCATAGTAAGGTTTCAAAGTGTGCAAATATGATGTAGTTTATCAATATCAGGATCCCAACAAGATCGAGCCCGGTGACGCGCAGCACTGTATGCCAAACGCTACTATAGCACTAACATTCAACTCCGGAGCTGGAGCTGGAACGCCGACAACATGCCGTCCCATGTGTAATTTAAAGTTTCCGGCTAAGTTTTAGCGAGCGCGCGAGAAGAGCCGCAAAGCTTGGCATCAAATTCAATCCCAGAGAGCCCAAACGAAGACCCAAGAAACCTGACAGCGTATTCCTCTTTCCCACCACCGTCCAAAATCACGGTTTCTCTCCAACCTATTTTCGCACACGTCAAGACCTCAATTATGGTGCAATACGTCATTACACCTTGGCGGAATCCGTCCGAGCTGCTCCGCGTCCGCGATCAGCTGTATTCAGGTTCATCACCAGGACGGCCGGGCAGTGATGAGGACCGCCGACAGGCTGTGGCGCAGGTCTCGGTGTGGATGCAGAGGGGTAACTGTCCGCATCTAGTCGAGAGTACGGCCATTCTTATGGCAGCTGTGCTGAATGATATCCCTGGGAATGCGTCGTATTGTGTTAGAGCTGCGTATGCGGCTGCATTTTGTAGGTGAGTTCAAGTCGTCTTTTCTCGTCGTTCTTCGGCTTGTGGGTTTGGATATTTGGTGTTGATAGGTTTGAGATTCGGCCTTGAGAGGTTTGCTCCTACTCTTGCAATTATATTTCGTTTATTTCGTTTTCCTCCTTCGCGTTTCTTTCGCCGAACGGATCTACCGCTTGGGCTAGAGCGACAACAATTTTTTGGGATATGCCAAGAGCAGCAGTATAGAATATCCTTTCTCCTGGGCGGTTAATTTGCTGCCTTTACTCCAAGTTGAGCGGTGCTGAATAGTTGTTACATCTTTCGACATGCAACACAATAATAGCAAGTACCTTCGTTTGCATGTCAATATGCAGGTTAAACTGTCCGATATCCCTTCAAATTGCCTCTTCATCCGGCCAGTGGCGGGATGTGTTGGTGGTATCAGAGTATATCCGGTTTCATCGGAACCTTGCAATATTTCACAAAGCACCTTTAGCGTAGCATCATCCTAAATACCACTTTCTCACATTTCCTCCTGCACTTGTCTTCCCGCCCATATTCTTCCTGGCTACGAGCTAATTACCAACAGGTTTGTCACAGGTCTCTTAGACAGTCACCAAATAAAGCGCAAAAAGATGAGCATGTATTCAATTGCAAACTCCATTGGCCTTCCCGCCACCTACGTAGAACTACGCCACCAAGCAACACATGAAGAACTCCCGTCGCTCTCCAAACTCCGGATAGCTACCCAAAAAGCACTACGCTGGATATGGGATTACTATTGGGTTACTTTATCAATTAAGGTGGCGCCATCCGGTGCGGGAGGCCAATGTAAAGCTTGGGTTCTGAATTCGGTTGGGGAAGGAGATGATAAAAAATGCGAAGGTCTGGACGAGGCGTTGTCTAAATTCGGCGAGGAGGAGCTGATCAAGGCTGTGGTTGAGCTTCAAGCTACGGCGAGAGATACAAATGTATTATTGAAGTGTCTGGACTTACACCAACGGATCCTAGACGGCGGGCTGAATACTACAGGGGAAGATGATGACTCGCATCTGGATCTTTCAGATAGTAATTTGGAAGACATTCAAAAGCAAATGCTTGCTATGGCGAAGGAACTGGACGAGACGCCAAAGGAACCGCCAATATATGTGGACGATGATATACAGGTGCTTGATGATTCGAAAAGCCAGGGATGGATGTTGTGGCAAGGCCCTTGGGTGCCAAAGCCTATTGGTGTTGTTTGAGAGGGATTCTTGTAGGCTTTGCACACGCTCATCCGCGTTCTCCAAATCACAGCCTATCGAACGGCACAACATCCATCTGGAATTAAGGATCACAGTAATTAAGCACCAGCTAGTTCATCAGCTTTGATGAACGTCCGATTCGAGGGATACGAGGCTTGAATAACCGATGTATTATACATTAGATGAGTCATGAATTTGTACGTTAGATGCATCTTAAGACTGTGCATTCGCCATGGCGTATCCATTACATATATATCTCCTCCATATGCAAGATAAACGTTAATTTTAGCCCTTGAGGGGGTAATAAATTTTGTCCATCAGTAGTATTTCCGTGCTCCTACACGGTGCACAATAATTAACCTTGCTGGGAGCGTGGAATAGCCTAGCTTCTATATCAGAAAACCCAACAGGCTAAGGATCATTTGTAGACCGTGTTTATATATCCCTACGAACGCCACACTTTGGTGCCTAAGCGTATGAAATTGGTATTAACAAACCAAAACTTCCCCCACATACTGAATTGATATATCAGTTGGTGTGCCATTTAACACAGTAGCAATAGACTGCTAGGGATGTGGTTGGGCTTATAATAATAACAAATTCGATTAAATCGCGAAGGTGATCTGAGGGGAACTGAACAAAACTTTTGTCAAACATCAAGTAGGTCAAGCCGTGCAATAGATAGCTGGTGCATTTTCTAGCAAACAGGTCTAATGAGGCATGGGTACTAAGCATACAAGACGAAGGCCATTCACATAAATTAATAATGTTTGTGTCAAATTGTAAACAAGGGATGTCTTTAATATAGGTGAATTCCCGAGCCTCAAACCCCCGAACCTAAAAATACAGTTTGAGACCCATTGAACACCATTTCCGATAACTTTGTGTAGGCTGTTATTAACAGAGCAAGGCTATCCCCATCCTCTCTAGAGTTTATTCTCAAGTTCGGAATTTGCAACTCCTTAAGCAAAAAGTGAACTAGCAACTTAGTTCGTTGCTGCCTCGATTTCCTTGTCATCGCGGGACTCATTCGAATCATTTTCAACGTGACGAGCTGCTCCACTTCCCACCTTCTCCTCCATATCCATCTCGCCCTTTTCCATGCGTCTATTGTGCTTATTGACATGGGTCTTCCAAGCGGGCGTTCCAATATATTTGACGGTGCCAGGAGTGCTATAGTCGAAGATCTGCTCAACCTCCTCAAGGGAGTTTTGGCTCGTTTCCGGGAATAGGAAGAAAACATGGATGAACATCGCAGCAAGGAACACTCCGAAAAGGATATAAACCTTCCAGCGAATATTGGCAAACGCAGGTGGGACGAAGTACGAGAGGGCGAAATTGAAAAGCTATCAACATATTAGTTAATTCTGCCTAAAATTAAACTCTTGATCAAACTGACCCAGTTGCAGCTTGTTGCCAATGCAACGGCCTTGCCTCTAACACGGAGGGGATACAGTTCTGGTGGATAAATCCAAGAAACGGGGCCCCAGGTTGGCGCATATGAAGCGACGAACAAGTACGTGCAGGCGATGACAGCTTTGGCGGGTGGACCGGTGATCGAGATGGATTCTGCTTCTGAGGCGAACTGTCCTGGCTCTGGTGTCTTGCCGTAGGTAGCGAGTAGGCCGGCGTTGGTGAACATAAAGATCATCATCATAAAGGCGCCAATAAGCATGGTTGGGCGACGTCCCCATCGATCTACCCAGAGAAGTGCAGGCACGGTCATAATAACGTTGATGATGTATTGGATTGATGATGGGAGTAAGACGTTCTCACCCAACCCTGCCATGGTGAATACATAGGTGATATAGTCTGTTGCGACGCGTCAGTTCTCACGCGCTCAATTCACTAGATCTTGGTTATTTGTACTTACACATCATCACATTCATTCCGGTAAGCTGGGACCAGATCTGTGTGAACACACCGATGTGTGTGCGGTTAATCATCTTAGGCTTGAAAAGCTCCAGATATGTAACATCTGCGTTGGCACGCTCGAATTCGACCACCTCGCGGATTTCGGCCATCTCTTTAACGACCCACGGTGATGTCTGATCCCCGTTGGCATGGGTCAAGGCAAGCACGTATATGGCCTCATCCCAACGGTCATTCTTGGCGAGCCATCTTGGAGATTCTGGCAGGAAGAGCATAGCAGTGAAGAGGAATATGGCGGGGAGCATCTGAAGACCCCATGGAATTCGAAACGCAGCAGTTCCGTCGATAAAAGAACAGCCGTAGGAGATATAGAACATTATCAAGATGCCCCAGGTGATTGCCCCTGTATCTTGTTAGCAAATCGTTGTCCAGAGCCAGGTTTCTGATGGGACTTACATTGTTGGCAGCCGACCAGCCTTCCACGCTTGGAGGGCGGCGCGATCTCCGTGATGTAGACAGGAACTTGAGCAGAGCAGATTCCCACCGAGAAGCCGTTGATGAACCGGCCTACAATAAGCATGGCAAGCCCATTAGAAGCACAGACTAGGATTGAACCAATGCACCAAATAACAGCACCGACTTGGATGGCTCTCTTGCGGCCTAGGTTATCCGAGATATAACCAGAAACCAGCGCACCGATAAAAGACCCGCCGGGCATAGAAGCAGTGATACCACCTGTCGTATAAGGTCAGCGACAAAAACATTAGCACTGAGTTATTGAGGTTTCAAGTTACCTTGGACGTCGGCAGTTGGGCCAGAACACTTTCCATCGGTCTCAAGATAATACGGGCCTTGGTTGAAGTAGCACAGGTAGGCTTGTGTCGAAATGATAGCTGACATGGAACTGATATCGAAACCGAATAGAGCACCTCCGACCACCGCGACGGCGGCGATCACGTAGATGTTTCCAATCGTGTACATCTTGCCCGTTGTTCGTTGTTCGCGCTCAAAGGGTTCGGTGTTGAATTGGGAAGCCTTTATGGAGTCGAGCGCGTTTAGAATATATGCGGAGGAAAGGCGGAGGAAAGTGCGGAGAGGAAAGGTAGGCTCTATTTAGACGATATAGTTTATAGATCGAGAAAGTCCATACCATCAAAAGGGCCGGATCTAACCGCATTAACCTGGGTTCCGGACAATGACGAGTAAGGGAATCCAAACAGTTAGCATGATTTAGCACAATTGACGATCCCACAAGGTCTCTAAAAGGGCCCCTTGGGGCTCTCCACAGCGGCTCGTCGGCAAAGGGAGAGGACATGATAGATGGAATTCTGGAGTAGTCGGCTCCATCTCACGCGGGTTTTCTGGTTTTGGCACATGCATAGTAGGAAGTAGGAAGTAACCAAGCAACCAGAAGTTCGATTGGCCTCTCCACATCACAAGACACTCCTATGCTAGGGTTTTCGGACGCTTGAGAAGTGTCTAGTTGGCTGATACGGCCCCATCGAAAGAAAAAAACGCATTAGCGGCTGTCGATCGGAGTCTATCCTTGAGGGCATTCCCAGGAAGGACAATGAGCGCCCAGGGGCCGTGGCAACGTGACCGTACCAAGGATCAAGCTGGATTGTGGCATCATACATCTTGGGATGTTCGATGTTTACATGTTCCCAAGGCGCAGGTTGGGCGGCGGGAGGCGTGGGAAGTGGAAGCCGCTGGCAGCATGACGGTCGTGGCTGACAGGGAGATGCCTGTTTGTCTGCTTCCGGCAGATGATCAGCCTTCTAGAAGTCCAGTCCCGTGCTTAGTACCGAGTACCGAGTGTGCCAACAATACGAAGAAAATGCTTGCTTACGCTCGAGTAATGAGTGCTGTTGAAGTTTGTAGTTCGGATGCTAGGACAGAGCAGTAGTAGTGCTGTGGTAGTGCTGGTACTCGAGTAGTATATGATCCACTGCGGTGCAACGACTTAAATTCTCCGAATCATGCAACGTCCCACGGTTCCACACAGCTCTCCATGTCAATCTCTTATCCGGAAAATCTTTTCATAGCACAGAAGGCTCTGAATGAGGTTCAGTGAACTGTTTCATCCTGATTGGGGGTGGGTTGCACGTGATGATACTCATATCGGATACCATGCCAGAACTGGAATTTTCTTACAGACGACATGCGCCCATGCTAGTACTTCGTACAAGTCCCAAGGCACACTTATTATTGTCAGGTTTGTGTCGATGTCGGACATGGCAAACTACCTCGAGACTGTTCAACTCTAATAATCCACAATGTCCCACGATTCAGTTTGATGCTTGGCCTAGTCGCCGGGCCGAGTTGCCCATTCGGTGGAGAAGAGCCCTCAAGACTCGAATACTTGCAAATTATACTCCGGCTAAGAATTGCCCGCGAGAAGAACGATTACCACCAACTTTCCCCTAAAGAGCGATTGTTTTGATGGGATGGAGGCATCTTGGTACAGTAATTGCATCTCATAGCTCCGTAAGAACAGTCAGCATTTTGATCACCCGTTTCATTGGTGTCGCATGAATGAGCCTCAGCCCCCCTAACTCCTCCCCGCCTCCACCACTACCAAGTACAACTTCTATTTACTTTTATCTATGCTATACTGTTAAATTATTCTCAATTCCAACCTTTCACCAGCCTGCCAACCATGACTTGTAAGTCCAAATCGCACCCTCCACTTCCCTACCACCTCGTGGAGCTACAGCTAACCACCTCGGCCCATCCCAGCACTACTCAACACCACCACGACGGTCAAAACCCTTACTCCACTACCCCCCCACATAAAGAAGACCGATGTCCTCTCCCTCCTCCACAATAATGAGAGAATGCTTACCCTCAATCCACTTCTCAAATCTTACCAGCAACTGCCCCCGCCTAGCTCTATCGCATTCTACAGCCAAGTACCGAACGCCCTCAAACCCTCGAGTACCGCCGAGATTGAAGCCCTTCCCGTCTTCAGCGTCATTGAATCAAGCTCCGCCAGCTCGGATCAGGCGGAACCAGAAGGCGCGGACACTTGGCGGGGCGGGTGGGCGAAGCGCATTATACCAGATGAAATTACATATGAGACGAGTATGCAAGCAAAGGACGATGGGGTGGTGACTATTACCCACGCACCGATGGGAGTCCATAGTGTGACAACGTGGGTTGTGCGGCAGGAGGAGGCGAGGGATGGCTTAGTGTTGGAGAGCCGAGGAGATTGCACGAGTAACCGGGTTCTGATGGCCTTTATTCGGACCACTTTGCAGGATAGCTACGACAAGTTGGCGAAGGATTTTGTGGAGGCGCTGGGGAAGTTGGTTAATGGGGAGGGAACAGGAGGGGAGAACGACCGCGAGAAGGCCGTGGCTAAAGAAACCCCCACGGGGAATGCGGAGATAGACACTGTAAGCTAATCGGATGAGGATCATGATGCAGCAGAACACGGCGTTTAGGATTAGGTTTGGGGATTCTATAGATACTGCGGGACGGTGGGAAGACCGGAGGACATAGGTCGCTCGTGGCCGCTGCGAGACATTAATGAAGCATTTCCGTCGCAGGAGCCATCTTGATCTAGAGATGAAAGTCGGTCCGAATAATACGAAGTATGCTGCTTTTCCTGGCCAGTGCAGGACCGCGTGTTCTAAATCTCAAGGAGCAAGAGCCAAAATTCCGTTCTGTCCTGTAAGCAAGGCTAGACTTGAGTGATCTACAAAGGAGCTCCATTTTATTAGCGAAACGAGTACGCGTCAGATGAGGTCTAGATATTTCTTCCTAGGTATACGAAGTAAGCTCGCTACGTCCTCAGGGATGGATTCATCCTTGTTTGCCTACGGAGCGTACACAGTCCTTTCAGAACCTGGTCTCCGTATTAAGGCGTGTTATTCGACTGCTGGTGAGTGGAGACTGCATAGTTAGCTATAATTCTGATATGTATCTTTCCTTGAGTCGAAGTCGCAGAAAATGGACAATAATGGATCTGGCAGTCTCGAGGATCCGACAATTTATAGCGACGCACAGCTAGTAAATCGGAGTTATAATATATGAATTACTGTCATATGGAATATAGATATATTCCCTAAGGATGGATACTGCTTCATAACTGCATAGGAAAGAAAGGGGTTCTAACTTTGACCTGCAAGTTATATATCCCCATTCTATTTTGCTACGCGGAAATGTTGGTTATCTAGATACTATTTCCCTGCACAGAATCTCCTAACTTATCCTAGCACAAAGACTATATTTAGTTGATATTCTTTACGATTGCATATAATATGCTCGTACTGCTGCAATATTAGCTTCTAGCTTCGCACATGTGTGACTGCTTAGCCTCGCGTTGTTGTCATTTTTGGGATTTTAGTGTACCGTATGATTTGTTCGCAATTGCTTAGAAGTTTTGCATTTCTAGTATATAAAACCCCATCTACTCAAGCCAGGAGAGGCGTGGATGTATGCTCAAGAATCACCAAATTTTGCTTTGCCCATTAGCCATTTTGGTCAACAATATTCTGATATCGCCCTGGAGTCTTTATGACAGTATCACTACGTCCACTACCGATTACGAGCACTTGACAAGCCTGCCTGGTTTCCGCTGGAGTTTCAAAGACAGAAATAAGAGCTTACGGCCTTACTCGTTATACAGATAGCGGAGGCCACTTATTACCTTATTGTAGCTGCCTTATAATATAGTTGTTTCTTGAATTCCTAATTTATACAAGTGTTTTCGTATACTTGAGGATCCTGACTTATTAACAGACTGAATTATAAGGTGTTTCAATACTGGTTCGTTCGCGAAAATAGCTATAGGAGTTGCATTCTTTACCGAGACGGACTTTAGCACGCGTAGGAGTGCCCCAATTATCCTTAAATCGATGTTCACACTAAGTAGGAATATAAAATAGAGATATGTATATTGTACAAGTGGGTTATACGCGTTAGGGTGAGGTAAAGAGGGGACAAGAGACATCTAAAATTTGGGGTCGGAGATGTATAAAGAGTCACGCCACAAGCTCTTATTATAATTGACCATAGATAGCACCGTACGAGTTTCTGTGAGTTATTGATTAACTTTATTTAAAATGCAGCTAAAATGTAAACAATAGCAAGCAGGACTATTGTTCTCCAAGAAGGGGAAATGGAATGAGATCAAACGAGTTTTGCCGCATTTCGCACTTTTAGCGAGCGAAGAGCAAGTGGCGATGGGCTGTCGTATGCCGATGTTAGGGGGCCAATTCCATTGCAGTCCATCTTGTCGTAGGAGACGAGCTTATGCTGTTTAAGCTGTTTAATCATCTTATTGAAGCGAAGAATGTGAGGTTACTTATATCTTCAGCTATCGTTGGCCCGGGGGCGAGGGGGGGGACGAAAAGCCCTTTTGTCTGAATGGGTTTAGTTGAAGATCTTCAGCTCAACTAGCTGCCCCAGGAGGGCAAAAGCCGGGAGATGATGCGAGTATCCAGAACTGACAAAAGGATAGGCTGTAGGTTACAGAAATGGTCTTTCAGCCTGAAATATACCAAGAGAGCAAGACAAAACCAAATTTCCCTGCGCTTTCAAGTTAATCCTAGCGCTCAAACCGCACTACAAAGTAGCTCTATAATATTGGCTACACATAATTCCCGCCGCTATAAGAAGGAGGGAGACAAGACCAAACTCGCTCGAATGATGAAGTTGCCTCGACAAGCCATAGATGCCAAAACATCGTTGTCACCGCCTTGATCCACGCGTGAGATATAGCAGGGGTTCCTCACAAAACCTCTTGCGCAGATTTAGTTGGGGGCCAATTTGAGTAAGCAAAATATTGAGCTGACCCTTCAAATTACAGTATATTAGCAACTGCAGTTCGGTGAACTTCTCACAAATTGTTCGGCTAAGATCTCGACACACATCACTAGAGGGTACGATGCCTTCACAATAGAACCAGGGCTTCCTAGCAGCTTGGATTATTAGAACTATTTTACGGTATTGTTCTTTTATTATTATTTATAGACGGGAGTTGCCCTGGAATAGCTTTCTTAGGCGCTACTAATATATATACGAACAAGAGGGAGCTAGAGTATATATACCTTATTTCCTAAACTAGCTTAGCGCCTAGGGTTTAGGCTTTACCTTATATATATAGTATATACCTTTATAAGGTCCCTAGGCAAGTAGGATAGCCTCTTCCAGAGGAAACCACCCTTAAAAGCCCTGCCTTATTGGTCCCGGAAGCCCTGTCTCTCTCCTCGTAAGCCACTCCTCGTCTTTTAAGTTGTAGTATAGTTGGAGAAGGTATCGTAGTCGTAAACGCTGGCGTATGAAGTAAGAGGGATAGATCTATACCACTAAAACCCTTCCTCAACTAGTCCTCTCAAGTCCTTATATCCCTCCTTTATCCTCTTATAACTTGTAACTGACTAGCTTCAAGCCCCCTATATACTCTATATGCCCCTGATTCTAAATCTATCTCCGAGTCTTAGTAACTATACTATAAGAATATACTACTTCCTTCGTCTTTTCGTCTAGTATTAGCAGCCGCAGGTTAGCTAGCTCTCTCGTAGGTGGAATAGATGCCGGCGTCTACGACGGTATCGATTCGAGGCTCTGGGCCGAGCTGGCTTCGTACCCCCGTGGGGTTTTATCGATACGTAGGAAGATTCGTATAGACCGAAGGAAAGGGGGCTAGTTTCGATCGATTTAAAGTCGGAACATGCGGCTACACGTCGAAGGGAGTTATTAGCGTGTCGAATCCGGCTCAATCTAGGCTCTAGGATTGTATTAGCAGAGTCCAAAGTGGCCGTTGGATAGCCTCAATCCTTAGGACGAGTATTCAAAGTAGAAAAACTCGTATAGAATAGCGAGAAAAGCCCTTAAAGTGCTCAAAGAGGTAGTGTAGTACGAAGAAAACACCACTCGTCCACAGGTTCGTAGAAGCCACCACGTACCGGGTTGAGCTCGCCCTCCGATTATTAGAACTATTGAGGTGCTTTATAGGACTATCATGATGTCTCATCCATAGCGACTTGCAGCTCTACAAGTCCCTTTTAGTTATTTTTTCCCCGGTTACTAAGTAGTATACCAAGCTGCGGGGTCTAAGGACAGATACAACGTCAAATGAAATTGTATTAGCTCGGATTGGGCGTCATTGACCACCACACCCTCTCGGAGGTGCGTAAAGCTTATCCTCACCCCATTACTACTAAATTTTCGGGTTAATGACGATGATCATACACAAATAGCTGATTTGGGATATGAAGATGCATCAATTATGATGGTTTAATTCTTCCCTGTCACTTATTTTCTAAGCCTGCAAAGCTGGCCTGAGGTATCTCAGCATTTGAACTTGAAATCAACCCATCACCCCGTACTATCAACACCTTTTTAACCCCTAAAACCCGTGCCCACCCCATCCGTTCATAACTCAAAATAGATCAACGTCCAAACAATTAACCCTAATATCATCACCAGGCCGGCAGTAAGACCACATAAAACTACGCTTGGCCCCCGACGTAGCATCCAACTCGGTGTCAAATCAAGCCACACTGAGAAATCGGCATATCCAGCAAGTCATTACTAAATAGGTAAAGAGAAATCGGTCCCAAAGGGGTATCGATGGTGGAAAGCATTCTGCAATAAGCGAGTGTGTATATCGTATATCGGAGGTCGTTCTTCGAATATAGACCATATAAGGCCTGGAGAGCTTTTGGATAAGCCGAGTATTTTTCGTGGAACATCTGATTCGGTCGTAACGTCATTTGCCATCCAGGGCTCCCCAAAAGCAGCGCAGTCGTCACTCATCAAATTTCTCAAGGTCGATTGGAAATCCCCACCCATATATACGAGATTGCCTGTCGCGGCAAGCTGACGAATCGTTATCATTCAGATGCTGGTTTGTACATGAAGAAAGATTGAAAGAGTCTGCTGCGGATGTGCATCCAGTTTGATGTGCGATCAAAGCGTAGGAGAATCATTCCCGCTGTGCAACCGAATTCTCAGCTCGGGCTCGCATGTGGCTGGCTTGCGTCTCAAGACTGCGAGCCATAAGATGTGTGACTGTTGCTGGGTCAGTAAAGTGTCACGCTGTTTCCTTCAGATTTGAGACCTACCAGGCCAAACGGCAGCTTTATCAAGCATATAAGCTGTAACCCTCAAAATCTGGCTGCCATAACCACCATCGTCGGCCCCCGGAAGCTTTTGCGCAGCGTTAATCTGAGCTACAGCATTCATACCAGCTAACTCGTAATTCATCTTGATTTCAGCACTATTTAGCACCTCTTGTATCTTATTAAGGAGTTTGCAGTCTTCCTCTTCAAGCAACATAATGCCAGGAACCTGACCTAGATCAATCTCGTCCTTGCCGAGAATGCCTAAATAGCGCCCAACCCGTTCTTGGACAGTTGCAACCCACTCTGCGAGTACCTGAGCACAATCGAAGGCACACATCGCTGATTGTAAAGGCAATTCTCGGGATGTGAAGTCGGCAAATGTGACGCCTAACTTGTCCGACATCGATAATGAGTCCGCTGCATAAAATGCAGCTTTGCGGAGATGGCGTTCACGCCTCGACGTAGATATAGACTGGTTTGACATTTGTGCGGACCCACTTGAATGAGCAGCATTATCTTGGTGCGAGGAGTTATTCGGGAGCAATTGCGCAGCCATAAAATCCGGGGATGAGTTTGATGTCGGAGGTGTATCAACGAAAACAGAGTTGGAACCAGACATGTCTGAGTCGCCGTTGGAGTCGGGCGAATGCTCGGCGTGCTGAATGATCTCGTTGCCACGAGACAACTCCTCAGCCATTCCATCCCAATCTCGCTGCCAGAATTTTTCCTTTGACCGTGAAAGATTGACAAATAAGCGCACGTAAGCAAGATCCAAGAGAGGGATACTATCGGCAGATAGAGGACCGAGGCCGTACGGATTTGGTCGTTCAAGACTATGATGAGGATTGCTTGCCCAAGCCGCTTGCCAAGCCTTCAAAGCTGGCTCAATATGGCGGTGCATCTTTTCCGTCTCCTCATTCGTCCAGACTCGGTTATGGTGTCTTTGTCTTGTTTCCCAGATATAATTGTGAATGGAGTTGATCAATACTAGACATCCAAATGTACTAGGTCGTAGATCACTCTTGGGCAGCTCTTGGGCGCTACTGCTCGATCCGAAGGGCTGGCCTTGTGCTACATGAAATTGTTGTTGTTTCTCGCTCGTTCGCAAGAGTTCACCCAGTGCATCGTGGAAAGTGACTTGATTATGATCAGCCATTCTTGCACCCCCTTTTGCATAGAAGCTGCTTGCTGATTCCGCAGACCAAAATTCTTCATCACATGGTAAGTCTAACATAATCTCGGAGTTGGTTAAAGCCGGTGCGTGGTTGTAGGCAGACACAAGGAGACTCGAGAGGATGAAGACAGCATAGAGTGTCCTCTTCCGTTCTTCCAAAATCTTCCAATGGTACCAGTCCCGTTGGTCCTCTGGGACTTCATCACCTCCCCACTGTCCCATTTCTTGGCGCTCAGGAGAACTTTGGCTACCATGCGGCTTGAGGAGATCTGCAGCCCGCGCGAGGCTAACCAGAGCTGCACAATGTGTACTCGCAATATCACCAGCAGTCTTGTCGCCACAGTTATGGCCATAAACCACATTAAGCAACATTGCTTGGACAAGCCAGACCGGAGTGTGAACCGAGTTTTCAAGGAGTCTCGAGCATGGGTCAACACCAGTCTTTCGGTGATCCGCCTTTCGGACATCAGCCTTTCGGCGCTCCTCCAAGTATAACTGGATCATCTTCTTCGCAGACTCAAACAAATCCTTCGACTGAGCATGTTCCAGCTCATACAAAGCGCCGATTGCGGCCATTGAGAGGATGAGACATCCACGTCCTCCGATTAAGCCAGCGGCGTGGTTTCCGTCGTTTGAATAGGCAGGCACTTCGAATGAGAGAGTGGGTATGTGAAGGAAAGGAAGGTGGGGGTGGAAATATCGAATATATGCCCCAATATACCGTTGGAGATCTTGAGTGCTAGGGAGACTGCGTGATACATCGCCCACTCCACTAGCTCGTCCAGGGAAATGAGGAGACAAGGGCGAGCTTGTCGCTGGGAAGGAGTATTTTCGGCCACCAAAAGGGGTGCATTGAGCCAATGCGGCGCAGAGAGTTTGGCGGGTGGTATCTGTAATAGTGGCTATAGGCAGCAATGACTGGGTGTTGAACCCACTCATAGAAATTGGCGTTTCTGGGCCTAGGTTCATAGGTGGGTGAAATGCTTGAGTTGTGATTCCGGACATCATTGATGGGCTTACTGAGCTCATGGACGGTGGTGGCGTTGAGAAATAAGGATCATTGCCATGTTTTTGTGGCAAGCTATGCGGCGAAAGTGGCCCACCATTCATCAGGTCGTTGAACCCGGAATTTGCAAGATCCAAGGTAAACGGGTTAGGCGTCATCAGCGGTGGTGCCATCATAGATTGCTGCCACATAGACGCTGAAGAGGTAGCCGGATTGTTAGATCCGTCCAGCATAACCTCGCTGATGCCGCTCTGGCTTGCCGTGCTTATGGCGGAAGGGGATGATCCATCGATAGCATTCTCATTGGCCTCATTAAACGACATTTGGTGCTCGAAACCGTTCATCCAGTCAAAATTCTCGTCCAAAGTCTGGTTAGTGGACATATCCGAGAACCCTTGATGGTAGGGGGAGGCAGAGTCGATTGCCATCGATTGTGGAGATTCGTTATAATGAAGCGCATTCGGGTTGATTGTAGAGCCAGGTCCAAAGAGCAGGCCTTCAAAGTCAAACTCTGCATTGAACCCACCAACGATTGGAGCCGTCCTTAAGCCGCCGCCAAACTCGACATTATTGAAGCCTTGGGTTTCGAGCTTTGGCAAACCGTGATTCATGCCTCGCTGGCCCATCGCCGCAGACATACCTCCAAAGTGATAATCATTCTGCATTGGTAATCCGGCAAGGCTGGGATGGCGACTATGCGTCGAGTTGAGACCACCTCTAGCAGCAGCAACATTCGTAGCGGCCATTAATTGCATGTGGGCACCATCAACATGGCTAATGGTGTTCGCTCTTGGTCTCATCGTTGCAGCTCCATGTCCATTGGCAACCGACCCTTTGCGCACCCGGCCCGGTCCTCCCGCAGTACTGCTTACCGCGCTCTCTCGTCGATTCCGAGGCCTGGAAGATGGGGTGGTTGTCATGTGTAGCTTCTGCTGGTGGCGTAACAGGAGATCGCGGCGAGCAAAACATCTCGCACATTCCGGGCACTCGAAGGGCTTCTCTTTCGTGTGTGACCGCTCATGACGCTTGAGATGCTCCAATCGGGCAAAGGACCGTTGACAGGTGCCGCAGACGTGGGGTCTCGGTTTGTCCGTCTTAGGTGGGGGGAAGCTATTCGCAGATTTAGGGTTGGTAGCAACTGTGCGGATTGCCATGTTAGCCTTGAGCCTGGGGTTCTTCGTATGGAGGACTGGGGAAAGCAGTTCCACAGCGGCTATATCAGATATCACAACGTCGCAGCTCGACCTCGTGATAGCGCTGGAAGACGGAAGACGGACGACGGTTGATGAAAGATGGAAGACGACATACCATTCTCTCCATTGCCAGTTCCGCCACCCGAACCCGCATTGCTAGATGACGTTGCGGCGGGCATGGCGAGTGGTTGCGGTTGAAGGGCTGGGGATTCGCTCAGCATCGTGGTGGAAGGTCGTCGTCGAGAGCGAGTTAGGAGGGACAGCTTCCAAAGGCTCGGATTGGCATGCTACAGGAATCTCAACACGCCAGTCATTGAACAGTCCGCAGCTTTGGTTGCAGAGGCACGCAGAAATAGGGATATCGATCGTGGCAACGGGAAGTGAAAGGATAGGGTAGGATGGGATGTTGTTTCTTGGTGCTGGGCGGCTTTCGACTGGCCAAACGCCCGTCGGGGGTTCAGTAGGGGAGCGAGCTGGGGGGGGTTTTTTGGCTGGCTGCCCAGTTGCCACTTGCGCTTCCACTTCAGCGCCAGCGCCAGCACCCACGGCTAGCAGCAATAGGGACAGGACAGGACAGTACAATGCAACCACACATCAAGAGATCCACCAGCACGGTGGAGGAGTATACGAAGTACAGTACGGGACTACGACTGGTTGCTGCTGCTACTACTGCCACTACAGCTACTGCTACTGCTCACCAGAGCCCAAGGCCAGAGCCAGAGCCAGAGCTCCCAGCCCAAAAAAAGCCTACTGCTCCTCCTGACGGGTACTGTACCTCGCTCGCTCTCTGGATCTCGAGCTTTAACCGAATCTGATGTCCAATTCCATCCCAGCGGATGTTTAAAGCTGCAATGCGTGCCATCCATCGTCTGTCTACGGTCCCTCGCCCGCCCTGAGCGACTTGCCCCCGTAGCTTGTTGCGTTCCTGGACGCCGTCGACCGTCGACTGTCTCCCGGCCGTCCGCCGTGCTGCTGAGGGCGACGGCGCTGCGACTTGTCCGCGCTGCTACGAGCCTGCGACGAGTCGAGTACCCCGTACTCGTACGCTTCCCGAGTTCTCCAGAGTACTCCAGAGTACTCTAGAGAGTAGTATTATTTCCCGTTGTGGAGCGTGGAGTGTGGAGTGTGGAGGGACTGTGGAGTCGGCGCTGCTCCGAAGACAGCTACTCGAGTACCCAGACTGACACGAAACCGTGGCTGTGAATCGCTCTCCCACTGTCCACTCGCCTGTTCCACCCCGTGCTGGGCCATGCTGGGTTCTGGAGGCTAGAGGCCTGGAGTAGTTGGGCGCCGTCGCTGCTAGCTCCTCCTCGATGGTGGATCCGTGGCAGTGACGCTGAGCTATGGACTCCAAATTACGGACTATGGGCTGGAATGCCTGGAATGCCATCACTGCGGGCCCTACTGGGTGACCTGCCTGACCAGCAGTCGGGAAGCCGAGCATGCACTTCGACGCCGGACCAGGTTCCCCATTGGCCTTGGGCTAATCCTGAGACGACGACAAGTAAGGGTTTGTGGGGAATCTGAAGTCTCCTCGACTGTCTGCGGCAGCACGTTTCGTCCAATATGGGATGGCTCTACGGGTAGTTTTCGATTCGCGATGCCAACGCCATGGAGCCCAGCCAACGCCGAACTCTACTGGCATACGGAAGCTCTAGGGTCCTAGCACCGGGCCTAAGATAGTGGAAATAAAGTGCGAGGTCCCTAGGCTCCTGACGGGTGTATGATGCACGTCCCTGAGCATCGTTATTATTAACAAAGATGGACCTGGACTGCCCTCGGGAGGCCGCCCCTGTCCGTGAGCCTTTAGGAGGAACAACGGGGCCCAAATGCATGATCAATGTACGATGGGCCAGGCGACGGAGGTATGTAGAGTGAAAGAATCGAGGAGCAAGGCAGGGAGAGCGAGACTTAGACGAACGGCGAGATCCCGAGAGAAGAGGCAATTCATGGGTTGTTCCTGAATGGCCGAATGCCTCAAGTCGGGGACAGACTGCCGCTGCAAACCGATATTAATACTACGACGCAGTTAATCCGATGATATCTACGGAGTATACACCACACCACTCCACTCCAGAGCCATGCAGGCTAGCTCTTCCGGCACGATTGATAAAAAGATCTCTCGGTCCATGAATATCCCCTTGCCTCGCTCGAGTCATCTCGACATTTGCGTTACACGGCATGCATCTCAGGAGGCGGGCATATATTGCGACCGGTCAACAGGTGCAATAACCCAGCGGCAGACTCAAGCGCTTTTCGTACGTATGAAAGTATGAGATATTTTTCCGGGAACAGGACTTATCTTGCGAGTCCCTGTTGCAGGTTCTATCAGCTGCGCATCACATCAGCAAACACGCCCCGTCCACGGCGCTCTCCGGCAGGTGCTTTTATTCAACGCTCCGGGTTCTACGTGCTTTTCAATCCTTTCGGTTCCTCGGAAAGGACCCAGGAGATTATTCTGCATGAAAGTGGGCACACAAGAGGATAGATGCATCTTTCACCTGCTGCACTAGAACCGCGCGCCGCCCGCAGCGTGCCTTTGGGGTAACGCCCAAGGACTTCGTATTTTGTTCTCTCCTCTGTGCCTGGCATTGATAATACAACGTCTCCAGCAAGATTATTGATCTAGTGATTTGGGCGACGTTCGAATTTCTCCGCATAATTTCCCCCGCAGTCCTGCCCTCAGGGGTCGAAGCAGATAGGCGATAAGGGTTTCGGAGAGTTGGTTTCGAACTTAGGGGGTTTCCGCATCCTTACGGTTGATGAGAAATAATACATTCGCCTTGGCATGCGAACGCCAACCCACCCGACCAAAGAAAGAGCATGCCTTGAGCATGCATCGTGATGTGGGTGGAACGATGGAAGACTTCGTCCCGCACCACGCCCTTTTTGCCTCCGGGCAATGACCGGCCTCCGTCGCAACAACCGGGGCCATAAAGTGGGCGCTGCTGCTCAGGTGACAGAGGGTGGAGGAGATTCTGGCGGAAGAACGATTCGACCGTTGGGACGAGCTGGTGGAGGGACGGGCTACTGGGACGACGAGAGATACTTACTTACTGACTGGGACTTGGCGGCTTGGGGAAGTAGTGACAAGCTGTACTGTACGTGCTCCGTACGTACTTCGAAGCAGCGGGAGTGTCCGACCAGGGGCGACGACGGGCCATTCATTGCAAACACGAATCCGCCATGCGCATCACCCGCCAAAGCCAAAAGATGACGATGCTGCTCGTCGTCGACCTTTCCAAGCTCTCCAGCGTATGGTACCATGCCCACCGCACGGCAGTATGTATGGGTGCTACTCTGTGCTCCCGTACGGTACAAACTCGGTGCCCGGCTATGATCAAACCGTCGTCCACGGCCAGCAGCAGTGCGAGTGTGGCCTTGCCTTGCCCATCTGCTGCATCTGCATCTGCATCGGAAGGCAGAAGACGTTAGGCGTGCGCCGTCTGCAACCCCTTTCCCTGTACCGTGCAAACCTCCAGTCAAATCAATATTAATTGCGCCAATGGCACACCACGGTGTGAAGCATCCATTGGGACCCCTGGGTCTACCCTGGGCTTCCCCAGCTTTTTTCCAAGCCACCTCGGCCGTCGAGCCCTTTGGTATTTGTGTGGATCGGCTTCCCCAGTTGAAGGCGCTGTCATGGGAATGGGAATGGCCTACGGCGCAGACATTTCGAGAGGTCCATTGATTGCTATTATCACCCGGATACTGTGCATATTATCGCTGAGTGCCGCCGTTGCCTCCTACATAACCTTGGTTTCAAGAGCCATGCATTCGTTTGTTTGGGCATAGTTGACGACACCGTCCTGAGTAAAGGCTTAGTTAAACCTTCATCTACACTAAGAATGCGGCTTATTAGTTGTACTCCATGCGAGCCTTCGAGGGCAGAACAAGGCAACCGACTGGCGAATGATATCCCGAGACGCCCGCCACCTGGTCTCACAGAGACACAAAGTCAATCCGAGCCTCAATCGAATCAAAACAAGCAAGGTACTACGTACTCAGCTCTCATCTCAGCAAATGTTTATTATATTGACGGGCCACGAGTCTCCGATCGAGAGTGCCCTCTTGACAGGGCTTCCTGCACCTCCCTGGATCCCAAACTTCATCCGGCGCCTGCATTCTTCCCCAACGGTCCTCGGCTTGGGCCTTACGGAGTACTTTCCTACAGTGCTACATACATAGAGTACTTCGTACTGCGGCAATAATAACAATGCCAGTGAGTGCTGGCAGAGTGCTGGCAGAGTGCTGGCAGAGTGCTGGCTACAGTGATGGTTTATGCCTTATGCCTTACAGCAGACCTCGCCCTTGACTGGTTCTCTGGTACAGCACAGGCCGTACCCAAGTCGTGAAGAAACGCCCTGGTGAACAGGGCTGCATCCGAAATACACCAAGTAATTAAGCACGCTTCCACATAGCATAATGGTCCAATAATATAACCGCTCCCGGTTAGGCCATCGTCACACCAAGCAATCCCACGCACCAATGGTCCAAGGCCGACCTAGCTCATTACTACAATGTCCCAAATTCCACGGCGGACAAGACAACAAAAGGAGAGTTTCTATAAAGTAGCCTCCCCCCTGTGACATCTCGGCCTTCGTGCGCCACGCACGAGAGATAGGAAGAAGCCCACAAGTCAAGAGCCAAAGAAGTAAAAGATTACTGGTGGCCGCGGATGGCTAAGCCGAATGACTCGGAATAAATGGAGAAGGTTTTCAGCGCCGTGTCCGTACATCCCGAGGTCGGCTTATCTGAGCTTCTATGGAGTCTGGAGTCTGGACATACTATACACCCCGTATTACGCCCCGTATTGGTAATGCAGCTGCCCAAAAGACCCAAAGACACTCTGGGATGATGGCAGTACCTTGGCGCCCTAGTTTGACTATTCCGTGAAGGCTTGCAGTAGGCAGTGCCACAAAATCCAGCGGCTCCTGATTCCAGACCTTTACTCCTTTCGAAGGTAAATGACACCAAATCTATGGTGAGACTGTCTAGGATCTGGCTAGGGACGACCTAGGATAGACGCCAGAGTGCTAAGTCCTATTATTGCCGCCCTGCAAGTCAGGGTTTCTGCTGTATTATCGAGGGAAAAGGGGAGTTCACCATGAGTTCGAAGAAGTGCTGGATGTATTCTCAATACTATGCCGACTACTTCGTAATAGGTTCGGTGCCAGATCCGTCTGCCGATCTAGTTGCCGTCCATCATTAGTCACTCTTTACAAAGTCGCCCAACGGCCCTCAACAAACTTATCTTCACGAATGGAACTTCCCACGGGATAGTCATCTACAGAGGTAGGCACTACGTAGGTGTAGCTGTTCCCCGTCATTATTACTTCCATATTATCTTGCTTGCCGATCTATCGAATATCTCAACCCGTTTCTGCCTAGTCGTGTGCACCCATCGTGAAATAAAGGGTTAAACGCCTCGCCGATCCCTCGTGGCCGAGGGCCAAGCTGACCCCGGAATAGATGTCTGGACACGAGTCCACACCCCAAACGAGCGTCTGAGTGGCGTACCATTTCGTCCAATGCGCAAAAGTGACCGTGCCATGGAAAACCCGAAGGTTCCCATCACTGCGGCGGCGATCTACAACCTCAAGCTGCAGGTTTACGCCATCGCGCTTGCTTGTGCAAGGGTATGATTTTTTTTGTTGACTTTACTACAAAACCAAGTTCGAATAGTGTCGCACCACGGAGGTTCCCATTGTACCTAGGTATGTAGGTTGCTATTTCTGTCTAATATCATTTTTCATCCCGAGTTTTTTGAGGGTCCCGCCTGCAGAGGCGGCAGTTGAGGATATGAAGATCTCTTTCCTCCTAATGGGAAAGGTTGCCGAGCGGCATGTTACAGTACTTATCAAGAAAATATCCAGGATTGTTAATGGAGGTCTATTTTGGGGCTTGCTCTATTTGTTATGAACACGTTTCTTGAACCGGGCTTTCAAAATTGAGAGACTGCTGCTGTCTGTCATGGACAGGTATTCGGATGTGGGTGGGTGAATGACGAGCCGGTGGCAAAATAACGATGGCAAAAATGTGCATCGATAAAAGTTTTTCAGTCTGTGCACGGCTTTGCAGCTGAGTATCTGTGAAGAGGACTTTCTGTTGCAAGGTGTAATGGAACTGGCCTTAATTTGTTCGTCGCATTTCTATATCAGATCACTGGGTATGCCAGTCCCTAAAACCAAGCTGGAATTGACTGATGATTTTACACATTTGGTCCGGAATGATGGGAACTAGCCATGGATCCACCCCCGAGGTTGGTAGGGCCTATGGTATCCTAGTAGGATTTGATTTCGCATTTCTATATTCTACATAAATACACCCCGCTGTTTAGAATTTCTTTAGCAAACTGTGATGCAAAATATTGCGTCGTAGCACAACCCGTGCGCTCTCCAAGGCAACTAGATAAGTCGCTTGCCGTGTCTACGGATGCCACATATATGCTGTCAACCGACATTCAAACTTCTGTTGGGGCTGGCCTGCTCTTGTTATTTTGCAAGGAGCTATTGTAGCCATCGATTGAAATTCTGAATGGCTTTTGGCGCAATGTACGTAGGAATTCTTCTCCAAAAATGCAAAAGCATACATAATATAATGTAACCACTCTTCCAAGAAAATTCCTTCTACTTCCATCCCACCCCAATCCAAGCGACCATCTCAATTTCCACCCCGTCCTCCGTCTGCTTAAACTTCTCCAAGGCTTTTACCTTCTCCTTCAAGATATCTGGCACCCTCGCCAGCTCTTCATCATCATACCCCTTGAAAAACATATCTTTAAAAAACATCATATTTTCCACCAACTCATCCAAACTATTCGCTTCAACCTTACCTTTGGCGCTCTTGACTTCGACTAGACTGCCAAATCCGGCTTCCTCAAGCTGTTTCATGAGATAGAAGCCGCGGCAATAGTCTCCGCCGATGTCCCAGGAGTAGGGCTGTTCGTTGGGACGGATGGTGAGGGCTGTAGCTTCGAAGGCCTTGTCAAAATTCCGCTCTGTTGTTACAAGTAATTTTAGCCCGGCCATTCTTTGAGGTTAAGGATATAATGGAGAGAAGGTAGCACAAATAAACGGTGGAAAGGGGAGAAATAGAATCAAAACAGTGAACCATACCAGCCCAAGTACTAATGATACTCACGCCACCGCTCTTCAAAACTCTCCATGTTTCCCTCGCAACTTTCAGGGGGGCTTCTTTATCCTGAAAAGTTGGGGCCATTATACCAAAATTGGTGATGACGTGAGAAAACGTGTCGTCCTCCAAAGTTTTGAGGTCACGCACATCCAAGACGGCGCTGGAGACACTGGGCCAATTGTTTTCTTTGGCACGAGCCTCATAAATGCTGATCATTCCTGGAGCTATGTCGCTGCCTAAGATGCGTGCGGTTGGGTACTTGGATTTGATGACAGCTGTGACTAACCCTGTGCCGCAGGCACTGTCGAGTATACTATTATAAGAGAAGATGGTGTTAGTGTGACCGTGTGCTTTTGAGTGTATGGAAATGAAACGGGTGTTCTCAGGTAAGATATATGGCGGTCTCCTAGGGTATAAATGCGCACCGCACCCCTTGAATAGCTGATTGTGGAGTCAAATTAAGAGTATGATTTATCATACGGGGTCCCATCGGACGAAGGAAATATACTGAGCACAATAAGGAAAGTATGTACTAACTTGGAATCATCCGTTATGGGAAGCGGTAGATCGCGGACGATGATCTTAGCGACTATTCGAATTACCCTATTAGAAAGTGGTGTTCTCAACCAAGCTAGATAGCAAATATATTTCCACCAAGCAAGATAACTTACTGCTCAAAGTAGCACCCGAAGCCCCACGATCATAATGAGCGGCATGCTTGCTGTGGAAGCTTTCCCCTGTCGACATGGTGTTGCAAGTCCTAGTTGCGTATTGAAATTCGGGGGGGGGATTTTGGTAGGCTTCGGAAATAAATTCTTGATAGCATGAAAGAGTTGAGAAAGCGAGCTGCCAAACAGATGGCAGGAGCTCCTTTATATATTCTCGAGGTTTGTAGATAGTGCTGATATGTCTCCGAATAGCATCCGGGCTATGTCTCCGAATAACTCCCGACACGTGATTCGATAAGTTGCTCAATAGAGAGGGCTTTTCCAGCTTCTTAGTAGGGCATAATTTGAAAGTTTTGGTAAAGATGTATGTTGCCCTGTATAGAGGTTGGGAGGATATTTTTGAGCACTCTGTGTAAATAGCGCACGATCTCGCCAACATGCAACCCCAAGTTGCGGACTACGGGCAAATAACAATACTTGAACTTTTGTACAGAGTTCGAGGCATTCGCAGAACCTCTAAATAAAAATACATTATTCGGCTATAAGCTATAACCTATAAGTGTTCAGCGATGCTGTTTGGTCTTCGTCCTTAAGACGGCGTTCATCTAAAGACTAAAACTAGTTGTTAAAAATTCCAAGGCGATTTTTAATCATTGCCACATATACAATCGGTAGTAAAGCAGACGGAATGGAATATTGATAAAAATGATTTTGAAGTTTTTAAGGAAACTTTACTCTTAGTGGAGGGTGGAGGGTGGAGGGGTTGGGGCGAAATTGTTAGTTTGGTTTTAGTTGCTTGCCCATACCATTCCTTGCTGCCTTATTCTACGGCCTCTAAATTCATTAGCAGGAATGCAAGGCATTTGTTTCTCGCCCGGTGTACCAAAGACAATAAAGTAAGCTGATATACCGTAAAGCCCATCGTATCGATTATCCTGCGGGGCAAAGTGTCTCCATGCAACAAAGTTGGAGTCATACTGCTATCGGGATATTGCGCGGACATGCCTCTTTAGTGGAAGAATACGGCCATATGCTGTGCTAATTCAGCTGCAGCTTTCGGAGGAATATACCTTCTGGCCACTTCCTTAATGGCGAGTTCCCCAATGTCTTCTCCTAGGGTGATAATCCGGGGCCTAGTCAAATCGATTCATGGCAGTATCCGTATCACGCAAGTACGTATTTGACAACCTCTTCTATCATCCGGACATTTGTTTCTACTCGCCAATATGGATTCGTTATTTTTAGATCTTCTTACTTACGTTTAAAAGCTATAGATGCTGTTCCTTTCATCATCGCTCATGTGCGCAGCTAAGAATTGTATATCAGTCCGGGCCCACACACTAGAATGGCATAATCTGACAGAAACTATTGATGTTATGGACGATTCTGTGTCTTGAAATTCTGCATCAATCCTGAAATAAGGCATCAGGTGCTAGCCATATCCATTTATGTGCTTGGCGGCGGTCTCTTTGAGAATCAGGGGCTTGCCACCTTCATATCATAATACGGATCGGATGCCCTGTCAGGCTCCTTTAGAAGTCTAGCATTGGGATACTGGTCAATGGAAGCGGATGGCCTTCAATATATACGTTGCCATGGTACCACAGTGGCGATATAGGGAGCTAAATCTAAGATTAGGACGATATGTTGAAGAAAAACTTGAGCTATCCTACATTGGTAGCTAAAGGATTGTTTAGCAATCTCCCCTATTAGTCAACGGTATTGAAATGGGAATGTATATTTTGCATTTTGGGCACCCCAACGGCTTTCGTTAGCACCACTATCAATGGTCGAAACCGACGAGATATAAGCGTAGGGACCTGACGAGGCTAGGGAATTATCAGAAAGTAAAGCATCATGCAAGCTCAGCACAGCGGTGAATGATTATGGGCTGTATTCTCCTGTTCTTACACTAGCTACTTCGCAAATGTTGCATAGATAAGGCACCTAAAGAGAGACAGGTGCGGTATACTTCGGAGCGAACAGCCCAGAATACGGGCGTAGTTGATTCGATGGAACGCCGCTTTACGCGAGATATTAAAGCGGCGCCGCATCGAGCTAAAATTCCCAAAGTGAAGCCGAAACCACAACAATCAGTCAGTCTCCGTTTCCCCATCATCAATCGCAATGCCTCCCCGATTAGCAGCGCTTACGGCGTATTGCCGAACAGCGCCCGCCGCGGCTTTACCCTCAATAGCCCTGCTGTCACCTTTCATGCAGGGTCGCTTTTCCTCGATTCTTGCAACGTTGTCCGATAATGCTGGGGCATACAACAAGCGTATTCGCCGTGGTCGAGGTCCCTCATCAGGGAAAGGAAAAACATCAGGGCGTGGTCATAAGGGCCAAAAGCAGCATGGCTCGGTGCCGGCCCGGTTCCAAGGTGGCCAAACGCCGCAGGACATAGTCCATGGAGTGCGAGGTTTTGAAAACCTGTATGGAGAATCTTCACCCTTCTAATACCTAGTTGCTAATTGGTAACTAGTTTTTCCGCCGAAATGTCTCCAGTCAATTTAAATCGGATACAGTCTTGGATAGATCAAGGCCGCCTAGACCCAACGCGCCCTATTACCGTCAAGGAGCTGGTCGAGTCGCGTTGCATTCACGGGGTGAAGAAGGATGGAGTCAAGCTTTTAGCAAGAGGAAAGGAGGAATTGAAGACGCCTATTAACATCCTGGTGTCGCGGGCATCTGCAGCAGCTATCGAAACAATTGAGGCCGCTGGAGGCAACGTCACTACTAGATACTACACGCAACAATCGATAAAGAGGCTTTTGAAGGGCGAGTCGGAATCAAGCTTCACCCCACTTGCTCTGGCGCCAAATACTGCGGAGGTCTCTCCAACGTCTAATACCACAGCATCATCTGCGTCACCATTTTTATACCGTTTACCCGATCCCACGAGCCGTAAGGATATAGAATATTATCGAGACCCAGCACACAGAGGTTATTTGAGTCATATGGTTGGGGAAGGTCAAGGGCCTAGTTTGTTTTTCAAAACACCAAGAGTTGGAGGCCGGCGGAAGTCGAAAAAGCCTGGCACTGCAGCAGCTGCAAAAGAAAACCGTCTATGGTAGTCGGTTTATTGACGGACGTTGTAAAGAGTGTGTACGTTATGGCTGTACCAATAAATGGGCATATAGTACCAATGATAATAGGCGTTTGTAGCACTTTTTTCGCTGTATTAAGAGTTAACTTGTAACTTGCGTTACTAGCCTACGTATAGCTGGGTCCGTCTTGTTCTTGTTTGTTTTATCCTCTATATTTGAGAGACGAATCGGTCCAGCAATTTCGTCCTGGAATGTGCAAATATACACCTCACAAAACAAAACGTGAATTGGCTAGTAATAGAGATTATTGAGCCTTTCGCTCTTGCCTATGGACTGCTATTGGGCTGTGAGGTCCATTGATAGAGAGTGAAAATATATAATGTAGAGTTTTGGACAAATAAACAGACTGACACTAGATCCTCATAGTGATCGACTGCTTTATCTAAGGTATGTTACCAGGGTAGCCACCTAGAAGCAGCCGTTCTAGCGCTAAAGGTGAACCAGAACTGGAACCAGCCCAATAAGTAGGTACATGGAATTAATGATCCATGAGACACCCGCTATTTGATCATTTATTTCAATGAACGTTCCATTTCTAATTGAACGATAGCTTTCTCTCTTGAACGCCAGTGTAACCAGTATCTAATATTTATTATGAACAATGGGTCTTATAGAGAGGTATTGCTTGAACACAAGCAACAAGGGTTCTTTGCAGGGATGTTGAGCCGTGTAGTTGGATAGCTTCGACCATCGCACAGGGATTCACTATCAACATCAACAACAGTGGCGAAGCTCTAAACTTGCGCTTGTCGCATCCCTTTACATACGAACACCTGCTGATAACCCACCCCCTCTCCTTACCGACCGACCTACTGCAAATCATATCTGTGAAACAATGTCGCTATTCGGATCGTCACCCGAGGAGGAGACTCCAATAAACAGCTTCGCCTCAAAGTCCCGCAATTCCCTTTTCGACGACGAACCCAGCCAAGTTTCGGCGTCGAAATCCTTATTCGCAGACGATGGTGCCGAAGGTGAATGGGATGTACCTACTGCGAAAAAAGGCGGGCGGGGTGAACTGGTCAGGAGTTTGCTTGAAGGGTCAGAAGTTCCCGATAGCTATATTGACATCTTCGATGACCTGCTCAAGAGCGATGGGGATGGAGGAAAGATCAGTCCTACTGGAGTCACAAAGCTTTTAAGCGCCGGCAATCTTGATTCTTATTCACAGACTCAGATCATGAACTTGATCAGCTGTGGTAGTCAACTCAGAGATCTGGGCAGAAACGAGTTTAATGTATTGCTGGCCTTGATTGGATTAGCGCAAGAACATGAGGACATAACTCTAGATAGCGTCGACGACCGACGACGAAGTCGGTGCCTTTTTTGATCAACACTGTGCTTAATTTAGCTAATACCGTTGCAGATTTGCCAGTGCCCAATCTCGCGAGCTTGTCCTCGCCACCGGCCACCCTTCCAGATGCCTCAGAACCTGCTACGAAACCCGCCCATCATCCTATTACACCCCTACCAGCTCCTCAGAAGCCCAATCAACCAAATCTACGAGTAGTTCGACAATCTCCAATCGATTTTCCGGAGGCGGATCCATGGGCAAGCCCGGCTTTACACAGAGGTCACAATCATGATACAGGCTCTCTCAAAGCAAACGCGGTACCCAGCGTAACAAGCAATGGCATACAAGAACCTGTCAGAACGACAAGTAGTTTTACCACTACCTCAAACGAACCGCCCAACGAGACTTCTAGCCAACCGCCTGGAGACACACCTTCCACCCCTGCAGCTGGTGTCTGGGGATCCTACGATGGTGCCCCAGCTTTGTCTTTTGGCAACCCGGAGAATTCTACAATCGGCGGAGGCGGGTTCGGCAGCTCAGGAGCTGGGGGCGACCGCCCGATACAAACCACTCCAAGCCGGTCTTTTGGTGGAGGCCGCGTAACCGGGGGAGGCGTTGAAGAAAATATAACAGTAACGCTACTACCGGAGAAAGAGGGAATGTTCATGTTCCAGCATCACAACTACCAGGTCGCAAGTCCGCGCAAAGGGACGAAGGTTGTAAGAAGATACAGCGATTTTGTCTGGCTTTTAGACTGCTTACACAAGCGATATCCATTTCGACAACTACCACTGCTGCCACCCAAGAGGGTTGGAGGTATGTACTAGGCTTATTTTCTTGTTAAAGCCTTTCAGCACTCTAAGTAGAGTGCCAACGCCCATCCACCTAAAGTCTCGAATACCCGAAGAAGCCACGATTTTGTTAGCGTGAGGAATTTCTCCTTCATGGTAATCCCGAACTCGTCTTTCCTTTTTTTCTTGTTAACAGGGCTATACTATGACATATATGTTTCATCCACTTATGCTAACCAGTGTCAGTAAATGGGAATCACCTAGCTGCCGACAGCACATTTATCGAGAAGCGGAGGAGGGGGCTCGTTCGATTTGCTAATGCCCTAGTCCGGCATCCAGTATTGAATCAGGAACAGGTATTTCCTATACCCTCTAGGGCCATACCTTGCCGAACTAACCTTTGTCCTCTTAGTTGGTGATCATGTTTTTGACAGTTCCGACAGTAAGTTACTTTTGGTTCCTCTAAGTATGAAGTAGTGTTTTAAAACTCAAACTAATTAGCACTAGGAGCTTTCTGTATGGCGAAAACAAGCAACTATCTCGGTTCAAGAAGAGTTTGCAGGGAAATCTCTTCCACCCGGTCTAGAAGATTCCATGTTGCCGACCCTCAGTGATCTTTTCAGTACCACCCGTACTGGTATCCGCCGATCCGCCGATATTTATATCAATTTGTGTAATCTTATGGACAGGCTCGCAAAGCGGAACGAAGGGCTTGCTGCCGACCAATTACGCCTATCTCTCTCCTTGCAATCTTTGACAGATATATCACAGGATACGTACGCGACGGATACCAATGATGTGCCGCTACTCAATGAAGGCCTGCATTCTGTGGCCAAGCATCTTTCCAACAGCCAAAATCTTCTAGAGGACGAGGCAAGAGCTTGGGATCAGGGTGTACTGGAAGATATGAAACGGTAAATAATCTGATATCTCCTTCTTCGATTGGTTACCTTCAATACCCGGCCACGAGCTCGTCCAAGTATATGCATTCCCTACCTCAACTAGCTTGCGAGTCCGTAACCCCACTTTATAAAACATATCTGACTTCGTGATTTCTTCTAGGCAAAGGGATACTTTGGTCAGCATGAGAGATATGTTCGACCGCCGCGACCGCTACGACAAGGATAATATTCCGTATCTAGAGAGACGGATTCAAACCAACGAAAACAAGCTTGTTGCCATTCGCGCAAAACCAGAGGGTCTCATTAAGCCAGGAGAGATTGAGAAGGTGACCGAGGCTATTATCAAGGTCGGTTATATATATCTCTTTATGGACCAGCGCTAATACCAATACAGGACAAGCAGTCAATAGTCGCTCAGCATGCTCGGGGGGTCTTTGTTAAAGAGTGCATAAGAGACGAGCTTATATATTTCCAGCAGTCACAGTATCATCTCAGCAGGTTAAACCAGGATTGGGCGCAGGAGCGGGTGAAGTATTCAGAACTGCAAGCGGATAATTGGAAACAGCTGCAGGAAGAAGTTGAAAGCATGCCTCTGGGAGATTGAAGTTAAACCAAAGCGTTAAGTTGAGGCGCTTGGGATATGGTGCGTTTCATTGTAACTTCAAACTGGTGTACAAAGTTTGGTAAATAATAGTGCCTTACCATTTGGTCGGGGAACGCAAACTATCAGCAGTGTTTGTTGGTAGTATCACGAGGACAGGCTGAGGGAAGTAGATAGTAAGAGAGTAGCAGAAATAATTTGCCAGACAAACCTTGTTTTTATAAATTCTTGGAGAGTTAATACTCTCAAAGTTCCGGTCTCCTCCATTTGACACCCCTTTTTGGGCTCTCTCACGTGCTATAGCTCGCTTATGATAGCACCTGGACTTATCGGTATCAAATTCGCGCCGAACCCCTCGCGCCCCTCCATGCGATCTTGTTCTTGGGAACGAAAACTTGGGAACGAAAGGTTGCAAAGGCTGGTCGTTGCTAAAGAATCGCCAAGATGCCTCCCATTACTGCGACCCAGCGAGTTCTAGTTAACCAGTTCATGGCTGTTACTGGCGTACCGGAGAAGATTGCGCAAAAGGTGAGCCTCCCGTCTGACCGCGAAGAGTGACAACATCAGAAAGTGCAATGATGCTGATAGCCCCTCCTTCTATAGCTCTTAAAAGCTTCCGCCTGGAAGATTGATCAGGCTACTGACAGGTAAGCTTGATATCTTCTCTTTTCCGCAATATCGACGTCAACCTTGGAAACCAAACACGTCATTGGCTCCCATGCACCGAAGCTGCTTCGCGAATATTCAAAATATGGATGGCGGATATCAACGTCAGGATAATGTGTCGGATGGTATCGATTAGGATATGAGATCTCCTATCCGTGATTATGATGACGTTTGATATCGCATGGTAGGAGAGTACACCTACACCAAGTCGAAAGTTAAAGATGGTTGTTGATTCAACACCTCTGTTGCATTGAACTTCACTCTCAAAATTGCCAGCCTTTATCACTATCATGGGCTGGAAATATGCTGTTCATAAACCGAGTTCCCCACACCCGATATGGTCCTTATATTCTCTTCTTTGAAAATCTCAAGATCCGCCGCCATCTCTCGATGAAGACGACCGCAACTTGTTCCCGAGCACTCCTTGGTGCCATTCGGGCGCTGCTTTGATCCAGGCTGTTTTTATGAGACAACTGTTCCTCGCGAACATGATATGCAAAGCTTAAAGGGGCCAGATGGGCACCATCATAGTCATTTCACGGCTGGCCAAGCCGACGGGAGAACCTAGGCAGTGGATCTTCCTACGTGCAGTCGGCTAAACCTCCCATGGATCTCTATACAAATCGGTCCGAGATATGGCTCAGCGGTTCCAGAACAATATTATTCAATATGACTAGTATTTAATCCTCGGCTTGGTTCGAAATCAAGTGGAGGATCCCGACCTATAAAACGCCGACCCCTAGGTGAACTAGCAGAACTTACATCAGTCTGTGTGGAATACTCTCTATAAGCAACATAAATGCTTCATCTAGCCAAGGTTGCAACACCGAGCCCAAATTGTCGTCTGATAGACCTTGCATCAGCCAAAGCTGGACACCACCGGTCACCCTCATTGAAATCGAGAAAGTGGGCGACGATACGGTGCCTAGAGAAAACTCCGGAAAAGTCGGCAAAGAGCTCCTTGTGAAACCTAGTCGAACTTAAATGCCCTGGCTGTACTGTCATATGGATTCATACACTATGCTAACATATCCCTGTGCAGCTATTTTGCTTCTAATGGAGCTGCCCCCAATGACAAAGGAAAAGAAAATCTAGAGAAATTATTTGGGAGCTACAGAGGTTAATACCTCCCGGGATTAGTCTGGTGATTCAAATATTGACTTATATACAATTTTAGAAACTGGTGATGAAGCAGAGATAGTTGGCGTGAATGGCACGATGAAGTATCTCACGGACCTTGGAGTCGACCTCGAAAATGCAAGCATGCTAGTTCCCCTAGAGATAATACAGGCGCCAGCACTCGGTGAGATAACCAAAGAAGGATTTGTGAAGGGATGGAAGGCGATCCGGTAAGTTGGTTATTTTGTGATATCCTATCCTTACTGATCAAGGTATAGCGCGGATACCCTGGCGAAACAAAAGGCACACGTGGCTTCACAAATAAATCAACTTGCCAGCGATAATGCCCTCTTCAAGCGAGTTTATAGGCATGTCTTTGTGTGTGCTAGGGATAAGGGACAAAAGGCTCTACCGCTGGAGAATGCAATCACATATTGGGAAATTCTTTTTGCTCCTCCTGGCAAGACATTAGCTACCTCTTCAACCAACTGGGCTGAGCTATGGATCGAGTTCTTGAACGCTAAATGGACCAAGAGCGTCAACAAAGATATGTGGAATCAAACATTGGAGTTCTTACAGAAAGCTACAGAAGACGAATTATTGAGCTTCTGGAGCGAGGACGGGGCATGGCCAGGGGTTATTGACGACTTCGTCGGGTACGTGAAGACGAAACGAGGTGCTGGGGAACGTATGGAAACAGACTAGGAAGTCTTCCAATATATTTTTCGATAGGGATCGAAGGGTTTTCCTTCAATCGTTCGAGCGAGCATTGCATAACGGCGCAAATGGGGGTTCCCCGGTATTTAGAATCCCAATCAGCACCGCACGAATTATGACCTACAGCATCTTTCCTAATATATTCCTTGGCGGTGTGACAAACTATGTCTTCCACTCATACAATCCCTTATTCGCCATGCAATGCCATATAGTACAGATTTAGGAGGATACCATCCATCCCCTGATCAAAACTCCTCTCGCTTCTCCCAGTCAACCCGACCCGATATCTTGCTCAAACTCTCCAGCGTCCCATCTCCGAGCTTCACAGAGCTAAATTTGATCATTCTTGGATCCAATCCCAACGTTGTCCTCACATCATCCTGAATCTTACTCGACGCATCGTATCTCATAACAAAGTAATGGCCATCCGTGTATTGCGCCTGATGTTTGCGCGTCCGTTTCGGTAGAGCAAAGACGCCCCAATTATTAATACCTCGGATGGTGCCGCCGGATCTGAGGATGAGGGAACCGGCTGTGCGGGCGATTCTGAATCTGGGTGTTAGTGATGAAGCCATCGAGAAGTGGAATTCGCGAAGCGGGAAGATGCGCACTCTTTCACCTCTGCGAGGTTGCCTGGCCGGACCTAAAGCCATTGATTAGCACACTAACATAGAGTTATGGAATGCGAGGAACTTACGATTGCTATGAGTTCATACAACATCTCTGCGCGTTACATTCGACCTCTTCGTCGTAGTCTTTGGGTTCGCGGTCGTCGTAAGAAATAAGGTTCAAGTAAAGTTACCGGCGCGGGATAACATTTTTCCATGTCAGGGCACTTTTTTTCGCGATTGCGATTTTGCGATAAGAAATTAATTAAAAGATACGCGATACCCAAAACGTAGAACCCAACTTTACATCTCCCCACCACTTTAACGAGGGGTCGGATATTAAGAAAGCGCCGAAATTATGTCGAAACGCCCGGCTGATGACAATGAGAACGGCGGCATCGCCTTAAAGAAAGGGGAGCGCCCTGAAAAGCCAGATTTTGATGACGAAGTGGGGGAATTTGAGGATGAGTTCGAGGATGAATACGAGAGTGAGGATGAGATTTTGGAAGCGGGCGTAGATGGCAGACCTGATGAGGAGAGAGAGGCGGATGAAAAAGCTGGTATGTCGGAATGAAAGCTAAATCCTTGAGCAATTTACCTGGGCCTTTATTGATGGTTTGCGTAGAGGCTATGGATGTAGATCAACAGACATTCATAGTGGGCAGGAATAAACTCGAGCCTGGTCAGACTCTATCCCCGGATCTCTCGACTTACGAAATGCTACACGCTCTAAGTACACCATGGCCTTGTCTTTCCTTCGACATTGTCAAAGATAACTTGGGGGATAACCGGAAAACCTACCCCGCCACCATGTACGCAGTTGCTGGAACACAGGCAGACAATAAACGAGAAAAAGAAAATCAATTGATGGTTATGAAGTTTAGTGGCCTAAGCAGAATGGAGCGAGAGCATGATGAGGACTCGTCGGATGATGAGGATGAAGACGCAGATCCGATTCTAGAATCAGCTTCTATACCACTTACCTCCACCACCAACCGGATTCGAGCACACCAGACACCAGCTTCGGATTCGTCACGGCCGCCTATAACATTAACAGCTTCAATGACCGAAGCCGGCCAGGTTCTCATTCACGATGTTACCCCTCACCTTGCTTCATTTGATACCCCCGGCACAGTCATCACTCCACAACAAAACAAACCCCTATCCACGCTTCGCATGCATAAGTCGGAAGGCTACGCCGTGGACTGGTCACCGCTCGTATCCACAGGCAAACTGGTTACAGGAGATAATAACGGTATGATATATGTTACTACACGAACCGGAGGCGAAGGATGGGCAACCGACTCTCGTCCGCTTACAGGCCACACGGGAAGCGTTGAAGAGTTACAGTGGAGTCCGTCAGAAAAGAATGTGTTTGCATCTGCATCCAGTGATGGCACCATCAGAGTCTGGGATGTACGGAGTAAAAGCAGAACGGCAGCTCTCACTGTCCAAGTCAGCGAAACAGACGTCAACGTTATGTCTTGGTCTCACCAAACAAGTCATCTTCTGGCTTCTGGAGCAGACGATGGTGTTTGGGCAGTTTGGGACTTACGGCAATGGAAGCCTAACACTGCATCGTCGGCACCTTCAAAACCAACTCCCGTAGCGAGCTTCAATTTCCACAAGGAACAAATCACGAGTGTGGAGTGGCATCCTACAGACGACAGTATTGTTGCAGTTGCAGCTGGTGATGATACCTTGACGTTGTGGGATCTGGCGGTGGAACTTGACGATGAAGAAAGCAAAGATACTGGTGGTGTCTCTGAGGTGCCCCCGCAACTGCTCTTCGTCCACTATATGAAAAAGGCCAAGGAATTGCACTGGCACCCTCAGATCCCAGGCTGTGTGATCGGAACAGGCGAGGCTTTTAATGTGTTTAAAACGATCAGTGTGTAGATCCAAACATAATTTCTTGCTATTGAGCATGGGCATCTTCACCGTGTTCCATTCAGCTGCTTGTTCTTGAGGTTGCATTTGACGCAGTGACATGTTGGAGATTTGAGCGGCTTCCTGTGTTCATTGGCGGTTACATTTCGAAATTCTTCCAATTCCATGCCTAAAAACCTCTTTAAGTTTTCCCCACTCCGCAGCCACGCTGTGACCTACCTATTCGTCTGAAATAGAGAACCTCCCCTTCAATTATTCTGCCTCTACAAGGAAACGATTTAGAGGGAATAGGCGTTGGACTGTCAGCCATAGTTGTCTACGTCAAGCCAATGTCGTTGCCAATACCTTTCCTCTGTTAGGCAAGCACCAAGACTGGGAGGAGTATATATGAGCACTTGCAGTAGGACCGAGGACACCCTAACATCCTCAAGTACTTTGGCAAAAGGCCTCCAGAATACGAGCTATTGCGCGGTGGGCTCATTGAAATATCACCCTCGTGGAACTCTTGCGGCGTGTTTTGGTAAGCTGGATACAATTCGCGTTTCTGAGACTGAGAGACGCCGGTTCGTGATCTTCTCCTTATCAAAGCCGCTCATACTAAGGAACTTTTCTAATATACGCTTATTAACTAGTCCTACTAAGCCATACTAATAGTCAAGTACATTCATTCATGGGGCGTTGTACGTAGTGATATTAGGCTCTATAATTTCCTTCTCCACGGTAGTCGAAGACTGACCCTATGCGACCTTTCCGGGTCCGGTATGGAAGACCTGCCTGCTACTATCGCAGCTGGTGTGCGATATTCCAATCCGCAACATGATGAGAATCCTTATTCTATAGCGGATGATGATATATTTGCTCTCGGGAAGGTCCTATACGACCTTGATCGTGGGAAGCAGCTTTCGAGGGTCGGAGCAGCCGCACATCTACCGACATCTGGTTGATCGGGAGTTTCCCGGCTGTCGAGGGTACTCTGCCGCTGAGACAGGTATATCATCGAGAAATGTCGGAAACTTCCGGGATACAAACCCGGCGAGGCGCTGGGGTCACTTGATGTATTTGAGAACAAACCTTTCTGGGATGGGAGTAGTCCTAGGCGGCTGGTGAGCTTGGAGGGCATGTTGTCAAGACCGACCCGTCTCAGTCTTTCTGTCCTACGATCGTAGATGGCATGCTGGGACAACTGACACAACGGTCCCAACCCCTTCTGCGTCCCAGCTTTCAAAACGCCACAGTGGTTGGTGTCAGACATGGACTACGACGCCTCGCACGTGGGGTTCGCCAGAGTTGAGAGAAAAGGACATCATCCACTCTAGAGGAAGACGGCGATTATCTGCTGTCTTAGAACCCCACGTCGCCACCTTCAAAATCCCGCAAAACGACGTTGTGAAAGCATTGATCAAAACATATCTATGGGCATCGCTTTTCATGGGCCCGGGACGAACTGTTGGAACCGTTCCAATTCATCCTCGACTCGGTGGTCGCCGAAGTTCGAACAATTGAACGAATAATTCTTGGCCGTCGCCTAATAATTCCCGACTCCTGAGCCCCCCCAGTCTCTGCGAAGTAGATGATCGGGCCTCAAATGAATTCAATGCAAACCAGAGACAGTGTGCTGATCTGGGGCTGTGCTACGTCGTAGTTCTAGCCCTTCTGGTCGTATTACCAGACTGTCGAGGGGCCGCCTCACCAGAAACGTAAAATAAAATAATGTGGTGATGGAAGAAGAAAACACACGGCCCTGCAGCGACGCCATAAATGATCCATGGGACGGAGCGATGCCTGTATGATGGGGTTGATGCTTGTGCAATGTGCATCCCCGTACAGCGTAAACCAACCACGATGTGCGACTGCTGCAGTGCCAATTTATGATTTTCTAGCAGGTTTCTACTCGAGTACGGAGGTAGGAAAAAGGCGCTCGTGACCTGTCTCGTGTCCACTTGCCAGGCCTTGTGCTCTCCACGGGGTTGGATTGGCCGCCCCAGCTCAACCTCTCCTGCCGACGGTATTCTGGTGGTACGAGGACGTAGGATTACCATTCTCCTTTTGCGGGGAAAGCGCATGCTTGCACTGCCAGAGGCCGAGCGACCAGGACCCAGGCAAAATGGAGCTGGCCCATGGCTGAGTTGAGTTGAGCCCAGCAACCGCGAGTACTGTGTGCAGTACCAAGTACCACCACCACCTTCCCCTCTTCCACCTCCTATACCGATGCTCTCTCCTCTTTCTATCCTCCCTACCTCCCCTATTCTCTTCTCCATACTCCAGCTCGACGTATCGTGCTTTGCGGACTCTGGGAGAGAGAGCAGAATAGCATGCTCCAGCGCCCGACCTGACTAAACCTGACCTGACCCCGCCACGCTCCCAATGACTGAGTGCCTCCAAGTGCTCATGTTCGTAGAGCAGATGAAAACGCCGATATAGCGAGGCCGCCACAAAACATATTGGCAGTTCTAGATCCTCACGGCTGCACGCGAGCATGGTGCACATATTTTGTGACTGTCTTCCTTGCTCTGATACCTTTACCTTCACCCTCTCCTCGAGCCCCGCTGTCAAGTTCTCCTTCGCCAGTCCTATACCACTCGCCTTCCCAACCAACAGGCCATTCAAACGCCGACGAGCATTGTCCGATGTAGACGGGGACGGGAATGAAGGCAGAAAGAAACGGCGTTTACGACTACATCTCATCACATCCCGGCTCAGCCGCCCTTTCTCACAGCCCGCATCAAATATCGCCAACCGTGGCCTTTCCAAAGTCGTTGTCTGGGGCGCGAAGAACAGAGCGCTCGCCCGGAGCGAATTGAGGAAAGCTGCTATCATGAATCGAGTGAGGATGCGGATGGATGCTGCGAAGAGTTTCATACGCCTTGAGCTTGAGAAGGGGCAGGCAGCGCATTCGTTTCGAGAGATCATGCTTCAAAAGCCACGCTCTCATGAAGTTCATCTGCCGCCATCTCCACTTGGCCTCTCCAACTATGATGCCCTTGATCTCGAGGATGAGATGGACGATTACCACCGGGACGGAGGCATCGATGGAGCTTCGTCCATCTATTCAGATTTCAACATCATGAATCCAATCACAAGTGACGGGGATGACTATGTCTACCTGGATGCAATCGATGGCATTTCCACACAGGACTTGCCTGATATACCTCCCCAACCACCCGAGGAGAGTATTGTTGAGATGTTGAGAGAAAAGGAGCAAGGGGACAGCATATTTGTGCAGGTACCGGAATAATCACGATCTTGTAATGGTAATTGTATAGCATGGCTTTGGCGTCCACAAAAATTTGTATGAATCAGGTTTAGTCATATGGACGGACGGATAGGGCAAAAACCAGTGCATATCCAGGATTATTGGAGTTTAATAGCGCGATCCGCTGCGATATCACACATTGCCTTGCAGTCATGTGAATCAGTTTACAGAAATCTGATTTTCTGCATACAATGAACTCTCTTACCTTGATAGCCTCTGCTCGCTCAAGGTTGATATCTCCTCTAGCGATCCTCTCGCGCATGCTTTCCATGATGACGGGTCGCGATCTCCCATTAACAAAAACACTATAACAGATCAGCTTGAGAGTATGAAACGACCCGGTAAGGTCCGTTCATACACGTATCTAAGACCGGGGAATGTTTTCTCATATTCATCATTTAAATTTCGAAGCTCCACTGCCTCTTGCTCGCCACCAGTATTCAGCTGGGCTTGCTCTGCTTTGGCCTGTGCACTTTCGACTTTCTTCTCACCAAGTCTTGGATGAGCTCCAAGAATTTTGTCAAGCCATTTTGAGTCACTGGTAGATGGGCTCTCCGAGAGATCCGACAACTGAACGCCTATACTTGCGATGAGATCATTGTAGGATGTGAACTTCTTATCGTGAAGAAAATCTAGAGATAAGGTATGAAGGGCGGTACAAGGTTCGAAAAGTGCGTCAAGAACAGCTGTCCGCTCGGTGGTGGTAAGAGTTGGAATCCCCTCAACCGGTGGAAGTTGAAAGCTTGACATGTTCGGATAATAAAATGAAATCAAGTGAAACTAGGATTGATGAAACTCGAGGTGGTTTTGAGGAGAAGAGGGTGGAGGCCATCCAAGATCTTGGATTGCCCACCTAAGATAGGTATTACGCCGCTATTCCCCATCCGGCCTAGCGCATATTTGTCGCGACTTCGAAAAAGTCGCAGTTGTTGATCACGATTGATCCACAAGACCAATATCTCGTACTTTCACCGCGACCGAAGATGTTATGCTCCAGTATGCCTTCCTTCTTACCACCTGAAAGCTTATTTTCTCGCGACTAATTGATAATAGTATCCGGTGAGGCGCCGCAACAGCCGGTGGCTTCGTCAAAGTCAGGTAAGGTTGGCAGCGGAGCCAAAACAGCATACGGAGCTGACCCATTTGTCTAGGAAATGTCTTCGAGAAACGACTTATTGAGGCTTATATCGACGAAAACCATAAGGACCCAGTCAACGGGGAGGAACTTGAGAAGACCGATCTTATTGAGCTTAAATCCAACCGAATAGTCACTCCAAGACCACCGACTCTCACATCCATCCCTTCTCTACTCTCCGCCTTCCAAAATGAATGGGACGCATTGGCCCTGGAGTCGTTCACTCTGCGACAACAATTAAATCAAACTCGACAAGAATTGGCAACAGCCCTTTACCAACACGACGCTGCTGTTAGAGTCATCGCCCGGCTGACCAAGGAACGCGACGAGGCTCGAGATGCGCTGTCGAAGGTAACAATTGGCGCGGGGCCTGTTAGTAACGGGGATGCCATGCAAATTGATAGTCAAGGTCTTCCAGAACACCTTGTCGCAAAGGTTGATGCGACACAAGAGAAGTAGGACCCATAGAATCCTCGGACATACTGTTGGTGCTAGTGCTAATTATTTACAGACTCTCCAAGAGCCGTCGAAAACGCCCTGTACCTAACGGCTGGGTTGATGCGGAGACGATTGAGAAGTTTGGTATTTCGTCTAGTTCTGAACCACTTTACGCCGGCGCTTCCTCTGTTGCCGTTGACGAAAGTGGTCAACTCGCCATCGTTGGTGGATCTGATGGCATTGTTGGCGTCTATTCGATCCCCGAAAATAAAGTCCAACAGTCATTCAAAGCTGGAGCTGCTGTCACAGACACAGTTTGGTATGGTAGCCACCCAGTTGCTTCCAGCGCTTCAGGAGCTGTGAAAGTATTTGGAGACTCCGAGACAACTTTTACATCTCATGCTGGAAGCGCAAATGGACTTGCATTACATCCAAGTGGCGATATTCTAGCATCTGTTGGTGTCGACAAGAGCTTCGTATTCTATGATCTGGCAGCAGGGAAGGCAGTTACGCAGGTCTACACCGATTCAGGTACACATCCACTTTCGTTCATACCAACTAGGAGATTACTAACGCAAAGCAGAGCTCACCACTGCCGCTTTCCACCCTGATGGGCACCTTTTTGCCGCAGGAGGGGCAGACGGCCAAATTCGGCTTTTCCACGTAAAGACAGGAGAGCATGCAGCAACTTTTGAATTAGACGGGCCTGTTCAGGACCTTACGTTCTCAGAGAATGGGATTTGGTTTGCAGCTGTGGCCAAAGGCTCTACTAGCGTTGTTATCTTCGATTTGCGAAAGGAGGGTAAGGCAGCGGAAGCAAAGGTCCTGGAAATCGGCGGGCAAGTCGACAGCATCCGGTGGGATTATACCGGCCAGTACTTAGCGGCTTCTGGCCCTCGCGGGCTTACCATCTCACAATACACCAAAGCAACAAAATCATGGTCGGATGTTATCAGCACAGCCGTCCCAGCGACTGCGGTTGTGTGGGGTTCGCAGGCAAAGACACTGGTCACGGTCAACGGCGAAGGAGTTATAACAGTGCTTGGATGAGTGTAGGAAATTTGGCGTCAGGTCCTCTTGGAATTATGGCTTGTGTGAAAAGCAATGAGCAGGCAATCCTCCGTGCATGTAATTCTAGAAAGCAAACATATCAGCGAGGGGTTCAGCATCAGATAGATGTCATGAATGAACAAGCCCAATTTGACACAGTAGGAAGATTGCATGCCATAGAGTTGATGAACCAACAAACCAGTTACAGCTGGGCCGGTTTATAGGCGGGTTGAAATGGCAAGTAAGCTGCCGACAGTGGGTCTAGTCTCTTCGAAGTAAGCCCTTAATCCATTTTGATCACTCCTCTTGAAGAACCGGTTTTGCTCTGTTGTGATTGTAAGGGAAGGAATTAATACTTCCTGATACCTATCTTGTTCTGTGATTCCCTTAGGGCCGACCTCACATATGTCGGACTTTATAAGTCCGATAAGAAGACTCCATCGGAGTTTAATAAGTCCGATCCGTGGAAGCGAGGAGGATGAGGGCCCTACCGGTTGTGATCTCAGCATCCATCTTCCACTCTGACAATATATCCAACACAACACTCTCGCCACAACCTCATTGCCGGGCCTGAAATTACTACTTTCCAGTAACACCCATCCAGGCCTGTGGTTCTGTGGTTCTGTATGAAACGGTATAACCACGGGCGGAGCCGCTGAAAGGAGTGTGATGGACGAATGGCCACCAGAACCGCAACGCCACAAGGTAAGCTTTCCCAACCAGGAAATCTTTTGGGAATGAATCTAACATAGTCCTCTAGAGGTCCCGTGAGGAGATGTCCCAGCAAGCATCTATTTCCCCGTCAGCCATCCAGTTCATAGAGCCGTCTTCTAGCCAGCCATCATCTAGATATCCCTCGGTGCCTTCCAGCAATACCCGTACGATCGCCCCTTCTTTCCTCGAGAGACGACGCACATCACACCCTCATAACCGTCCTGTACACATACAATCATTGCACCGAGCATCCGAAGACATGGCGGAAATATCCCAGCCACAGTCGAGGCCACGGCTGGAACATCGAAGTTCCCAAACTATCATTGATCTTACCGATGAGCCTGATGAAATTGGCCCTGTTTCTCGGGGGCCCTCCCGGCGGCCGCCACAGCTTGGGAGGAGTGATGCGTCAGGCTTGATGGAGTTTATAGATCTCACAGATGATGATATTGTTATCACGGGAGGTCGAGAGTTGCCCCGACCCCGAGCTCAAGAAAACCGGCATGCTCGAGATATTCACTTCGCCCCTATGCGAGACGATTCGCCCTCGCTCTTCATACCCCACCCACCGCATCCTCCCCACGCCATCCGAAGAGTATTCGCCAACCCAATGAATGCTATAGGAGTTGCTCTTGGCTTTAGAATTCCTGAAGTACGCGGAGCTGCAGCACCTCATCACGAAGCCTTTCACGCCGCCCACTTTGTGGAGCATATGCAAATATTGCGCGGAATGGATGCCCAAAATATGCCAGGCCTGATGGATTACAGACAGCCTGCGTTCGCAGCACCGAAACCGGAACATGTCCCTCCAAAACCCGCCAGAGAGAACTTCACACGGTCACCTAAAGAAGACGACATCATAATTTGTCCCAGCTGCGAGGAGGAGTTGGTGCACAAGAAGGATGTCGAGGAACCCGTGGTTAAAAAGACCGGCAGAGCCCCGAGTAGAAAGGACAGGGAGGAGCATCCATTCTGGGTGATCAAGGAATGTGGTCACGTAAGTTCGGCCTTTTTAAGAGCAAAGAATCATTCTAATCAGATATTAGGTCTACTGTAATAACTGCTATCAGAACCGTGGACATCCTGGCAAAACACCCGCATCGGTCAGCTTCCCCGAAATCTCGAAGCCAGGCAAGAACCGAACCACCAAAATTCTGACTTGCGCCGTCGAGGACTGCGACTCTGATGTCAAGGCCAAGGACAAGTGGGTGGGTGTGTTCCTCTAATAATTTGTATTATGGACAGCCTCTGCATTTTCTTTCCAGGGTACATGCTAGGTTACATATTTCAATGCATAGCGGGTTTGGAGGTTTCTCGCATGGCTGCAGGGTAAGGTTCAAGCATGGAGTATGTGGAGTTTGATGCTTCATTCCCGGATTACTTCATCATTTGTCTCGGCGTTGGAGGGCTACGTTTTGGCCACAGCGATGATTTTATGATTCCCATGATTTCCTAGATTATGGACGTTAGGGGTGGAGTCAACTGAGTGGATCGTGGAAGATAGCTTGGTCATCTATGAATTTCTTCGCCCCAATTCTATGTATTCGCTGATTTCTACCTGTGAAGTGCCTTGTCCTCAACCTATTTCTAGAAGGGAAACCGCCGGTATTTGGGGACTTGTTAAGACCAACGTCCTAAGAACAATGGTTGGATAAAGCGTTGGTGTAATGCTCATCACACTCTGGTAGGTCGTCTAAAAGACACTAGAAAGCACTCGAGTGTCGATAAGGAGGTAGGCTATAAACCACAGCGCCTTGTCCTACCTATACTAGGCAACGGGCTATCCTCAACTGTCCTATTGTGGTGAAGGGAATTGTATCAAGGTGAGTTAAGGTTGCCTAGGGCTAAGACTGGGTTGCGTAAAGCTGAATTGCTTAAAGCTAAAGTGCTTGTCATCATCATACAGCCTTGTCTGTTGTTGTTGTTGTTGTCGTCGTCGTCGTTAAGCGACGACGTGCCTTCCTCAACAAGCATATCGACCTTCTTTGGAATACCTCTCCAACTTCGCTTCTCTCCCCATACACTCTTTCTCTGCAATACAATGCCGCCTTCGTAGCGTCATTCCTTGCAACACTGTTGAGCTGTTGGCTTCTCTTGTATCGCATCCAACCTCATCCAATTCCCAAGCATTGCAAGTCGCTCTGGCCTAGCTGGAGCGTACCAGCTAATCATTTCTCGATCTCCCGTTCGACAACCTTCGGTTCTACTTCCCATATTCACTTTGTGGGGAACTCGAGGGGTCGCCTTCGCGACGCGTCTTTCGTCAAGTCGCGATCCGATCTTCCGGCCCTACCCATCCCACCACAACAAAACACAACACAACACATCTCCGACAGGTATAGTCCTTGTCTAAGTTTCCAGCCTAGTCACCTGCCCCCATAAGCTCAGTGTTCAAAGCCCTATAACTCCATCGCTTCAGCTAAAGGCTCAGGTTCAATATGGAGTGGCAGATGGTAAGTACTATATCTCTCACTTCATTCAAGACATCTTTTTGGCTTTAGTTCTTGCAACCTATCTCTCATGGCGTTTCAAATTACCGTGATCACTCATCTGGATTGGGATGTCTTAAACTCATATGTTCCCGTTTTCCCTCTACTAACCTCCTTTAACTAGCAAATTGCGCGGGGAGAAGGTCTTTACGGCAGGAGATGCACCTCACCGCTAGCCCCTGAGAAACCCAAGCCGGGCTTGCAGGTACAAGGTAATCAACTGGGATCCACCTCGCGTGATACATCCTTAAGCCGAGAGGATGAGCTACGCCGAGAAGCACGAAGCAAAGAGCGACAAGCACAAGAGCAAGAGTTGGCCGCCGCCCTCGAAAAGGACAAGAAAGCACTAGAGGCACGTAAAATGCTCAATGATGCAAGATTCGGTGAAAGACTCCGCGCACTAGAAAAGCCAGTGCATGAAAACTCCACCACCACCACCGACAAAATCAAAACCGAGCACGAGAGAGATATTCTAAGAAGACAATCGATCTATAGAAGTAAGATGGATAAGCAGTATGAAGCTCTTCAGAAGAAACTGAAGCTTGTGCGTGCGGGAATCGAGCCACAGAAGCTTCTTGAAGATCAGGATTTGCAGAACCTAGAGGCCAAACTGGAAGAGGAGTACAAGACGAAGCTGATGGAGTTAAGGACTCTGTGGGAGAACGAGGACTTGGCAGCCAAAGAAGGTCAGCATGAGTCCTTGCAAAAGACCCGTGAACCTTCGAACTTGCAATCACGCCACCCCGTCTCAGCAAAGCTTGAAAACCCTTTACACGCTCGGCGCCTGAATTCCCAACAGCCTTCGTCGTCGACCTCCCCAAGCGCCCTTCCGTTTCGTGGCGTTCTTAGCGGACATATCGAAAAGGGGACAACTGGAGAATATACGCTGAAGTCGCTGGTGGCGAAAGAAAACGCTCCTCCAACTTCAGGTGCTCCAAAGGAATCATTTGTCCAGTTGTCGAAGAACGACCTTTTGAATCTCAAACGAAGGGAGCGCCAACTTGGAACGGAGCCCTTTTCAACATACCTACTAAGTGATGCATGTTACAGCTCGCTCTCGCGCCAACCCATCCCACCATCGGCTGAATGGTACAGAGACCCAAGAAATCATCTGAAGTGGAACAGTAGTATCAAGGACCTAAAGGACATAATTTGCCAGGGCCTCGCAATCTCTCCAGCCGGCTTCGACGATCTCCATATTCGCTTGGTACAATCTGGCAAAAGTTTCGGCTTTGGCCTCGACCCCAGTCCACAATTGGTGGTCGAACAAGTACATCTCTGTGCCGAACACAACGCCATTCGGGTATTAAAAAGCAATGATTTCAGATTTGTTGACACAAAGTGGTTCGATGATACATTGAGAGCCTTGCTATTTCAAATCCGCATTCAAGCCATACGTCTGGATAGAGTGTACCCCATCAAGCAGGTGCAATACTACGAGAAAGATGGTTCGCTTTTTATATGGAATTCTGATAGCAGTGAGATGAAACTACACCTTAAATATCAAGACTGCTTCAAACTCTTCACGCAGGATAAAAAGCTGGCTAAGCAATTCGAATACTGTTTTTTGCGCCCAAGACATGTAGAGAAATTTTTCTACAATCCTACGAACAACATAGCCTATTTCCGTCGTCCCATCGAGGGTGGAAAAGGAAATAACAATCTCTGGCTAGAGTTTGACACTGCAGAAACCTTAAAGGCTTTTGTGGAGGTTTATACCAAAGGATGGCCAGAGCAGATTGCCCTCTCCCGGTAAGTCCTGCCCTACAGTAACTAAAATACACTTTTGGCTAATCTAAATTTATATAGAGATTTCTTGTTTTTCCCCCGCTAGCACAGCTAGCATATCGAGCCCTTGCAGCACGTTCCTTGTAAACGTCTATGCAGGTTGTCGACGCTTCACCGCCTTTCACGCCGCTTTTCAAACGTTTCAAATTCAGTAACTATTCAAAGTATTTGGCCTGAGCGCCTTAAGGAGATCATATACACCTCTTGTGAGTTTCACCGCCTTTCACACCGCGCTGGAAATGCCACAAATACAGTGAATTAAACCACAAGCTCCAAGACCTTTATGTACAATACTGTAAATTAGAGCTTTAAAATAACGCAATAAACAAACTCCTCCCCAAATGCCCAGCAGAATACATGCACCCTGCTTCATACACACAGTAAGACGGTTTCCCTTCTGTTACTTAGTTGTGTGAGACCTCCTTGCCACTGTTTGACGGTTTGCGACTTCCAAGCTAGCTTACAACCCAAGGATGCATTACTGAGCCAGGCTGGCCTGCCGTCAGTCCTTTATATCAATTGAAGTTCCTTGTATTATATTTTAGCCTCGCTATAGAACATGAACTCTCGAGGGGATGAATGAGGGGCTCCAATTCTTCTATTATGCTATTCGGCATTATAACTTTGAAAACACCGTCCCAACAGCACCACTACCCTCGACAAGCGTGCTCTTCTCCCTAACCCAAGCATTCAAGCCCCGGCGTCCATTCTCCACTCCCATGCCGCTCATCTTCCATCCTCCAACACTCATCTCCGCCGGACTCTCGCCCCAGGTGTTAATCCAGGTAATTCCCGCCTCGAGCTTACTAATAACCTCATGGCACTGATTGATATTCTTCCCGAAGACACCCGCTGCAAGGCCAAGTTTGGTATCATTCGCGCGAGTGATGGCCTCGTCGACCGTCTCGTATGTCAGTATACACATCACAGGGCCGAATATCTCTTCAGCGGTGATTTTCATAGCGTCCGTGCAGTCCGTGAAGATCGTGGGTTGGGCCCAAAACCCGTTCTCATAGCCCTTTGGGATATTAGCGGGTTTTGCGGAACCACCATGGAGTAGCTTCGCCTTATCGACATCTACACCATGGTGTATATAGCTGAGAACTTTTTGGTAGTGTGTTTCTGAGACCAGAGGCCCGAAATTGCTATTGGGATCCATGGGCTCGAGGGCTCGGATGTATGCCATTTTCTCGAGGAGAAGCTTCTCAAACGCGGATTTCATGCTCTTGTGCACGAAAACCCGCGTCCCATTTGTGCAGACTTGGCCAGTGGAAAAGAAATTCGCCATCATGGCGCCGTCAACTGCGTTTTCAACCACGGCATCTGGAAGGACTATGAGCGGGCTCTTCCCTCCTAGTTCCATGGTAACATATTTCATGCCACCTGCTGCGGCGGCAGCAACTTTCTGGCCCGTAGCTACTTGACCTGTGAAGCTTACTTTTGCAATTCCCGGATGGGAAGTGAGGCGTGCGCCCACAGCTCCATCACCATGGACGATGTTGAAGACTCCTGGTGGGACGCCTGCCTCGGTGTATATCTGCGCCAGAATTTGGCCATGCAGAGGGGTCATTTCAGATGGCTTGTACACCATGCAGTTTCCAGCTGCTAAACAGGGCCCTGATTTCCACAGTGCGATTTGGATGGGGTAGTTCCATGCTCCTATACCAGCACATACTCCTAGTGCATCTTTCTTGGTGTATATCCAGGCATCCGGCCGCAGGTGTGTGGTCTCCCCATTTAAGCCTCCGCTGGCGACGAGGTTGGCGAAGTATTCGAGCACATCGGCGCCAGTGGTTATATCCACGGTGCTGGTTTCCGAAAAGGGCTTGCCTGTATCGTGGGTCTCGACCTTTGCTATCTCATCGTTGCGGGCACGCAGAAGGGAGACGGCCTTCAGCAGGATGCGGGAGCGAGCGACGGGGGATGTTTGGGACCAGGAGGGGAAGGCTTTCCGTGCTGATGCTATGGCGGCATCGACGTCTGATTCGGAGGCAATCTGGACATCTGCCAGAGGTCTAGCTGTGGAGGGGTCGACGGTTTTGAAAGACTTATTAGAAGTGGCCGGCTTGACGGTACCGTCGTAGTAGAGCTGCTGGGCAGCGTAGGAAGGGTCTGTCATGGTGGGCTGGCTGACTTTTGATTATCGGGATTCTTTACAGTATGTACCTCTACCCCGGCGTGTTAGTCATGAAGCAATTGAGGATAGCAAGTTCTCTCTTGGTGTCGGGGAGGGGCAGCGAGGTACAGAGAGGGCTGTCAGGAGCCACTCGAAGTTTGGGTAAATCGTGCGACTCGGGGTCTCCAGAGGCGGTGGTAAAGAGCGAATGCTGGCCAGGGAGTCTTAGCACCGACAGCACTGTTTTGCCTACGTAGCCACACTAGCACAATCTGGTAGTATTTTAACAGCGGCGAAGTGGAGCGCGGACAAGTAAAATTTGAAGAATTGGATGGAGTTGCGTCATGGGCTGGAAAGAATTGCTGAGTTGGTTGTAGCGGCGTAGGTAAGGTACGTAGTACGAAGTACAGTTCTCGTAGTATGTAGTACTTCGTATGTAGTACCTTATGTAGGTAGTACCTGTAGGTACATACCTTAGGTATGTTGCATGTAGGACTGCAGTAGTAGTAGTACTGTAGCACTTCGTAGTACTCGTACTTCGCGCCAACAAACCAAGCAGTAGTTATTATCATCCACTACCTACGTAAGTGGTGCAGCCAGGTAAAAGTGCAGAGCGCCGTGCAGATCCCGGACCTTGTCCTGGCGACACAAACATTCTTCCCAGCTGCAGCCTTTGACGGTCAGCACACCCTGTAGGGAGTAGGGCGCAAGAGCTGATCCTGGAAGTTCTTGTCTTTTCATCAGCGCTAGATCAGACTTTGCCAAAACCTTCCTGTCAATTAGTCAAGATTCCTCAAAGCCTTCCGCTCGCCGCCCCCCCCGCCAATCCGCTCATCGTTCGTCCTTCCCTTGACCGCCCTGACTCGGACTCGCGTGACCCTGCAGTTATGGCGATGGGCTTCGTACGAGAACTGGGAGCTGTTGGTGGTGGATCACTGATCCATGGATCCATGGCAAAAGGCAAACGGGAAATGGCAAATGGTACGAGCTGCGACTACGTATGGCCGCCGAGTCGGCATTCGGGAGCCCTATGTGTAAGTCGAATGGGACGGGCATGGCCCGCCTTTGTTCCCCTTCATCTTATTTATTATTCTGCTGGCTCGGTGCTTGTGCTTGTAGTTCTGCTCCTGCTCCTGCTCCTGCTCCTATTCCTATTCAATTGTTTCACTGTCCTCACCATCAGTCTCCGTATTTGCATTCTTGAATTGAGTACGCGGTAAACACATCTATAAACTCTGGGCGGTCTCTCTCTGTCCTCATTTAGTGCATTCTTATCGTTATCGATAACGGGTCAGTGAATGAGCCTTATATACTTCGTACAGAGTACAAGAGCTAGAGTTACTATTTTGATCCACCATTGAATGGGATCTCTCCAAAAACAAATTCAAGATCGGGAATTGTGAACATACCTGGCACCATCAGCACCCTCCTCCTCCAATATGACGACTGAAGTCATCTCTTCCTCTCAAGCCGCCGACTTTGACTATGTCATCGTCGGCGGTGGCACGGCCGGTTGTGTCATTGCAAGCAGGCTCTCCGAGTACTTGCCAAATAAAAAGATCTTAATGATCGAGGCTGGCCCCAGCGATTTCATGGATGATCGCGTCCTGAAGTTGAAGGACTGGTTGGCTCTGCTCGGAGGGGACTTGGATTATGACTACCCAACTACTGAGCAACCAAATGGTGGATATACAACCCCAACCATATTCTTCTAGGTGGCAAAAGCTAACAATATACTATACAGGAAACTCATATATTAGACACTCTCGGGCCAAGGTCCTAGGAGGCTGCTCATCCCACAATACCCTGATCTCCTTCCGGACCTTCGAGTACGATTGCCAGATATGGGAGAGCATGGGCGCCAGAGGATGGAACTTCAAGACCATGATGCGCCTCATTGACAATCTCCGCAACCAGATCCAGCCTGTCCACTCCCGCCACCGTAACCAGGTCTGCAAGGACTGGGTTGAGTCCTGTTCGACTGCTATGGACATTCCAATCATCAAAGACTTCAACCAGGAAATTCGAGAGACGGGAAGCCTTAAACAGGGCGCGGGCTTCTTCTCTGTGGCATATAATCCTGATGATGGTCGGAGGAGCTCTGCCTCTGTTGCATACATTCACCCTATCCTCCGCGGGGCAGAGAAGCGTCCTAATCTCACTATCTTGACCCACGCCTGGGTCAGCAAGATCAACGTCTCGGGGAAGGAGGTCAGGGGTGTGGATTTGACGCTGAAATCCGGCACTAAGCTCACAATCTCTCCTAGGCTCGAAACTATCCTGTGTGCTGGAGCCGTTGACACCCCGCGCTTGATGCTGCTCTCAGGCATCGGTCCCCAAGAACAACTCTCCAATCTCGGAATCCCGGTTGCCCATGACCTCCCTGGAGTAGGCGAGAACCTCCAGGACCACCCCGAATCCATCATAATATGGGAACTGAACGCACCAATCCCCCCACAGACCACCATGGACAGCGACGCAGGTGTCTTCCTCCGCCGAGAAATCCCCAATGCAGCGACCAACAACGCCGATCCAAACCTAAACCCCTCCAAGCTGCCTGATGGCAACATAGCAGATATAATGATGCACTGCTACCAAATCCCCTTCTGCCTCAACACCCAACGGCTAGGCTACGACGTCCCTGTACATGCCTTCTGTATGACGCCCAATATTCCCCGCCCCCGCTCCCGTGGGCGCCTATATCTCACATCCGCCGACCCCAGCGTGAAGCCAGCTCTAGATTTCAGATACTTTACAGACCCGGAAGGTTACGACGCCGCAACCATCGTAGCAGGCCTCAAAGCAGCACGCCAAATCGCTAACCAAGCTCCGTTTTCAAAGTGGTTGAAACGGGAAGTCGCCCCAGGTGCAAAAATCAAGACGGACGAAGAGCTCAGCGAGTATGGCAGGAAGGTGGCACATACCGTGTACCATCCCGCGGGAACCACGAAGATGGGCGCGAAGTCGAATGCTATGGCGGTTGTAGATGAGGTTTTGAAAGTTAGGGGCTTGAGCCGGGTTCGGATCGCGGATGCGGGGGTGTTCCCTAGTATGCCAACTATTAATCCGATGTTGACGGTTTTGGCTGTGGGCGAGAGGGCTGCAGAGTTGATTGCTGCGGATGCGGGATGGAGAGGCGATGGCAATCCAAGGTTGTAAATAAAAAGGCCATTGAGATGTGAGATGTGGGGTCCATGGTTTCATAGGATTCCGAAATAGCTTGATAGAGCTGTTTGAAGATAAACTTACGGAGAAAATGCCTTAGATAGGCTAAGCCCTTGGAGACTTAGACGATTCTCATTGAATTGAAAATTAGATACTAAGCATCCATGAGGGCTTGAAGTCAATTCTTAACATGTGAAAGGATTGAAGGCGAAAAAATCATTCAAATATCCCACTTGTCAATAAAATAAAAGTAATCAAAAATCCGTTAAGGATCATCTATATTCCTAATTATGATAATGTGATTCTCGAACCCGCTGATTTTGTAATATTAAATAAGACACTTCTTAAATAATAAATTGGCGAACTTTTACAGTCTCGATCGACCTTCTACCAAGTATATCATTATTATTGTCTAATGTCTTGATTAGGTTACGAGCTCTATTGTTTATATTTTCCTATGCATCAAGGGTAATTTCCAAGTAATATTATCAACTTATTTCATAGAATCGAGTGCTTTTCAATATCCAGGTAACGTTTAGTACGGATACCTCCTACCGTAAATAATATATATCCCGGCCCTGGGCGTATTTCTACGCCTAGGCTTGATGATAAAATAAAAGAAATCAATCATCAATAAACCTAGGATTGAAATCTCAGGATCGAGCAATCAGAAAACTTCCCCAATTCGTTTTACTATGGTAAATCTATAGGCCCCGAACGCCGCGCTAAATTCAAAGCCTCTGCCCACACCTATCTATATCCCAAACCCCAACCAAGTCCCAAATGCTACATCATAATTCCTGCTCATTGCCCCAAGTGTCGGTATCTGTACTCGACTCATACCAGTCATTCTTTGTCCACTCCACAATGAGGTTCTTAGCCGCATCAGACAAGATAGAGTATCCAGGATTCTCCTTCGGGAAGAACATAGCTGTTACTAGTTAGCCAAGCTCATCAGATCGTTCGGGGGAAAGTGAGAACGTACTCATATGCGCCCCCGTCTCATCCTTCGCATTATCATTGATAGCCTCATACCAATACGCCTTCGCCTCAGTCTTCGGCAAATTACAAAAAGTCCTCTGATTTCCAATCACACCACCCACCATACTTCCATCATTCTTACTCACAGCTTGCTTCCCCAGCCGTGTATATAGATTCCCCCACCCAACCTTAAGCTCCTTATTCAAACTTACCATGCCAGAAACCCGTTTTCGTAGCTCTTCGCCTTTCATAAGGCAGCCGACGAATTCAAGGTGTGAGCCTACCCATGACCATCCTTCGGTGAGTTTGTCCCGATTGACGAAGGCGGCTGCACCGGCGCCAGCGACGGCTGCTACGCCTCCTGCTGCCACAGCCAGCTTGCCCCACTTCTGCCAGGGCGAGGCTGTCGTGTTGGGAGATGTTGGGGGCGCTGGAAGCGCCGCGACTGGTTTCTTGCTTTTTGCATCGGCGGTGGCTGCTTTCGTACCCCAAAACGCACCCGTTAGGCCGCTCAGTTGGGTGATCGCCGAGCTTGCTGCGTTATAATGGCCTTCTGCGCCATGAGCTACGACACCGGGGGATATGCCTAGGTACGGCGTGTCGAAAGCTAGGACGCCTTGGATGTAGGGGAACATCATAGTATTAGGATGTGGTGAGGTGTTATCTGAGCCGGCCGATTCAATAGGTTGCTCAGAGGCGATAGAGAGGATTGTGTCGGCGGCTACGATGCCGCCCATGCTGTGGCCTACGAGTATTGTTCGCACGGAGGGGTCGATTGTTGGGGAGGGGGTGTTGTTGGATACTTCGAGGTCGATGACTTTTTCTAAGAGCCTTTTTGCAATATATCCCATGAGCTTCTTTTCTCTAGTGTCTTGGGGTATGAGAATAATAATTCCTTACCAATCTCTGAATCGACTGACACATTCATTTAAATCGCCCCTTGTCTCGAACTTGGGATATACGATCGATTGTACGGTGATATTGGGCAGGGCGGCGGCAAGGAGGGTTTCCAAATGGAATGGGAAGTCGCCAAAGGTATCATCACCGCCTTTAAAACCGTGCACAAAGCACAAAAGAAGCGTCTTCTTCATGATGCTGTCTTCATGTCGTCCGGTTATGTTGAGATCCAGTAAATAGTCCACCCAAATGCTGTAGGTGTTTCCTGAGTTCGAGTGCGGTCACGAGGTACCAATCGTGAACCCCACCATCCCGGAACGGATTAATAAAAATGCCGTGGCACTCCCCTGCACCATGGGTTTCGCACTCGAGTCTGCATCATCCGTTGATGTGGGTGATGGATAGGTAGCCTACTCAGATATCATGTAGAGCGCAAAAAGAACATAATAGCCATTGCTTGCCTGTTTACGAAGTACTAGATGAGGGATCTAAAAGAGGTTGTAGCTCACGTGATAATAAGGAACCCTAAAAACCAACCTTCGCCGTATATACGTTGGTTGATGTTTTGAGTCACAAGCGGATAATATTGATAGAACGGAGAATTAAATATAGGGGTAGAGGGAGATTCTTTAATTAGCAGACTGTCCTAGTTCTAGTCTGATGGCTATCTCTCCTTTCCTAACTATGCACACGTGCCACATAGCCCCGGTGACTTCCTCCTCCGTAGGCGATGCTCACGATCACTGTGGGATCTGAGCTATGTAAGTACAGAAATGCAATATAAATTGCAGTCGAGAATGGACCTGATCCATCACGTCGACGCATATCCCAAACGCCGTACAATGCAAGGTATAACAAAGCGACATCGCTTTAATAAATTTCGCTGCAAAAACGCCGATGCATGCAAATGGGCGAACCCCTCCGCGGGCTCGACTTTCTTTCTTTCGAATTAACATGGGGGGAAATGTAGGTATGAGTTTTGACTGTTTGACAGTCCCTGTTCGATTCAATGAGGCTCTCAGTGCCTAGATTTGAGCGCTGCTGAATCATGCATGGAAATTAGGTTGTGGTAAGACTGGCCACTGTTGATAGGCGTTATGGGACGTGTATTCAGGGACAACACCAGGACGGTAGTCGTTTCTTCTGCCTAATGGTTGGTAATGCATCTGGTCTAGGTTCGCAGAGAAGCCTTGCATCGATGCCGACGGTGGTGGGTATAGGAGGGTGTTGACATTCCGGACAGGCTTGTAAGGCGAATTTCTCTGCTGAAGGAAGAAGGACGGTGAGATATGTCCAGGACTGTGGCTAGGGAATGTTGCCGATATGGGTGAAGAACCGAGTGACAAGAGATCTTGTACAGAATGCGGGCTCTGTCGACGTGAAGGAGTCGAGTAGCCATTTGTACCCTGCGGTTCATGTTGAACTGATTGTCCGGTAGCTGCCAATAGAGGTACGTTAGGCGTCCACGAAGGGGTGGAAGGATATACTGTTGACATCATCCTTCCGTTAATTGGTGGCAACACAGGAGCATTCTGCGACAGGCTCGTAGCCCTAGTATAGCTACTATTCAAGGGTTGACTCGTTGGTATTATCAAGTTTGGTACTGGTAGTCGGGGGACATCGGCCCTCATGATTGGTCCATTTGATGGGAAGGGGACAGGTTTTGTTGAGGATCTCGTGACCCGTTTTGCAGAAGGTTCTTGAGCGTCACCACCATAGCTTCGCTTCCGAGTTGATGAGCGCAGCTCTTGTTCTGGCATCGTAGCCAAGGGCGAAGATGAAGTAACGTAGTTCACCGGCCATTGCGGTGCATATTGACTGAAACCGGCCGAACTCGAAGAGTATCCGCTTGCGAGCGACTGTGCGTGGGATGGGGGTGAGGCTTGCAAGGAGCCAGGCGGCGAAGGTAATGTTGGCGTAAGGGTCGGGACGCTCTGTGGAGAAACATGAGGCAAGGGAGCTTTCGACGCCCTATCACAATAGATCCAGAATTTCCCAAGTTTCTCCTGCCATTCTTGCCATTGCTCCTTGGACGCCAATAGGCTGTATCTCATGTTGCTCAGAAATTCGACTTCCATCACGTGGATTTCGTTTACGGATATTCCTGACACCTCAGCCCAGGTCTTGTTTGTATACGTGTTATCGTCAAGAACTAGAAGAACGTTAGCATATTACACCCAAGAGGGTTTATCGGACTTACATTTATTGCCTAGCATCAAGGCCACAGTAAGAAGCCTGTATTCACTCCCACTTCTCCCCTTGACCGCGGGGTTGATGTTTTTCAGTCGATAGATGAAGAGAAGTGCCAATAATATAACATTCTGGGTGACTTGTGTTGTTGAAAGAATGGTAACCACCCATTTTCTGAACCCACTAGAAGGGGTTGCCTCATCTCGTAATCGTTTGACTGGGGATGAATAAGGTGAAAGGTTCTCGGCTTTTTGAAGGGTTTCGGTCGATTCGAACCAGAACAGGCAGGTAATCTTGATATGGTCAGTAAATGCTACTACCCCACGGAACTTGACTCCATACCTGTGCTGCAAATTCGGCCAAGCTCCCTCCACTGTTATTTATTGAAGAAGGTATCTGGAGATTCGGCACGATCGTATCGACATGGGCATTTTTCCTGGGAAGAGGGTCTTCAGATCGGGCCACAACATTCGATCTATCGGGAAGCTGAGGGCTTGACGGTTGTTGTCCATAGGAAGATTGCGGGTTCTGGAGCCCGTTCCGCGATATTATACTAGAAGCATGAGATGGTTGACTCAACGAGGAATGTGGTGCAGAGTATTGCGTCCGTTGACTGCTGCTTCCAGAGCAAGTCCCAGCATAGCTACTTGGGGTTGTTCCTGAAATTGAACAGGTGGAACTTTGTCGACTGCCATATGGGGGGTGCTGTGGGTGCTGGTAGGCCGTTCCCATATCGTCGGCAGGAGGTGTTTGAAGGCCACCTTTAACAGGGGCTTCAAGGTAAGAAGATACAACCTGCGAGTGGACAGATCCAATATCCTTCCGTCTGTCGATGCCGAAGGCTGCGTGTGCGGATGGCAAAAGGAAATCGAGGGGGGCCGGCCTGGCTGCTGTTCGATGCATCGGGATATTTTTGGCGGTGAATATGTGAGAGTGCCGGAGAGGGAGGGGGGAGGGGGAGTGGATTGGATATATAATTCGGTTGTTCGTGGTCAGGGAGGGGGGATCCAGCCTCAAAGGCCCGGACAAGCTGTTCCAAAGCCTTTTCCTAGAGCACCCAGCACTCTAAGCCACGAGTCCTTCCGTCTTGATATGCTGCGAGTCGGTTCGCCGGGCGTGGGGTTGCGGTTACCGCAGAGCCATGAAGGACAGCATAGATCCTCGAAGCTCCAAGTATCCGAATTGGGGAGGACAAGACGAGATATGTAACTGTAGATAGGTCGAGTGGTAGATTGGAGATAAATAAGATAGGTGGATATATCGATTTTGGATCCGGGGAGGTAAAGATGTATGTTTGAAAGATTGACAATAGAATAAAACGTAAGTGGAAGTATTGTCGGTGTTATTGGGATGGGGAGGTGGTTGTCTCGGCTAGCACTATAGAGGCCAATGTGAGAGGGCGTAATGGAGGAAACTAGCCCGTGGACGCCTGAAAGAACAGGAAAGTGAAAGGAGACGAGGAATGACAAATGGCAAACAGCAAATGGCAAGAAGCACAGGACGATCTTGGAATAATTGGATTCCAGACAGGAGTCGGAGGTGTAAAGAGTGGAGGCTGATCTCAAAGAAGTCTTCAAGGTCCGGTTGATGTCACAGAACGGCGAGTGAAAGATGGCCAGTCAGCGTGAGGGCTTTGGCGACCGGGGGGG